CAAGATGTCTCAATGTAAACACAAGATACCGTGAATACAAGCTGTGATTGCATACTGCGGAACTGTCTATCTACACCAGCCAGTTCCTCCGTATATATAGACCTCGGGACCTTAAGGTGCTCGCCCTGCTACGGCCCCGATCACCCTTAGCACATTGCATCCTGCGATGTGCTCGTCGTGCTATGCCTCCGATCATCCCTAGCATCTTGCATCCTGCAGAGTGCTCGTGAGTCTTGGCGCCATAGCACTTTCGTCCAACCCTGATTGGCTGTTTCCTGACTTCCCTAATGATTGGCTGGGGACGTCCTGCGCCCCACATGTGGCGCGGCCTGCTGTTGGGTTAACTGTGACATGAGTTCTTATCTGTGTGGACACCATCGCATTCCGCCCTCTAAAACAGTGTAGAATCATGATACGAAATCAAGATACAGTAGCTCAGCTTCATTGAACGTCAATACATGTACAGAAGGGGCACATAGTCTGAAAGTGAATGCTAAGAGGTTGTCAGTGACGGGAAGCTTCGTGTTGATTTGAAGAGGCAAATAGGTATCCACGAGTTTGACCGGTCAAGTTACTGACTTTTCTCACATATCTACCTATATAAGTTTCACTCAAACCACCGTACATTTTACAAAGAACAAGGTGGTGTTGCGGTTCCATCCGATTGTAAGTGTCGCTAGGTACCTAGATGCATTGTAGATAATAGGGCGAGCTAAATTTAGCTAAGCTTAATTAATGGTGAACTGAGCTGAGCCGAGCCCTCTATTTATTAGCCTAAGCTAATGGTTTGGGGTGCTGCCACAGGCCTGAGGGTATGAGTGAGGAAGTGGGGCTCTCGGAGGATTCGGGGGGTACAGGGGTCATGTATATAAGCTGTCTGCTTCTCACATTCTATTTTAGACAAGACATCGACCTTTATTTCTTCATATTTTGTGCCTTGCACGCGTGCAGGCAATTCTGACCCTCTGATCAGGTCAATCTGGTGCTTATTATGTGGCCTGCGAGCCCATAGTGTCTTTTCTTTGTCCTGCGTGAAGTGCGGCCTGCGAGCGAGTCACTGTCACGCAGGTGTGTTCATTCAGGGACCTGTTGACGGTATATTTGTGGTGTTATAGTTGTTTTGTGTGTTTTCTTACCATTTCACTAGTTGCGTTACCCGTTGTGGTGTGCGAGGCCCTGTGAGGTCCTCTGTGACGAACCTCTATCTAGAACCTCTGAAAAGGAAGCACTTCTGAACAATCCTGGTTCGGTACAGCTAAACAGTATACAACAATAGCTTGTCTCAATCACAATAGTCAAGATACCAACGATTGTGACTTGTATTGCATACTGCGGAACTATCTACAACCTAGCTAGTTCCTTTGTATATATAGACTTAGGTACTAGGTATTAAGTCTTTCGCTGTTGCGAGCACTGTAATTACATGTAAATATAGGGCTTACAGGCCTATATAGGGCGTAACCTTCGGTAAACTTTTATAGTTTTTTAATATAATTACAGATTTATTATTTTTTTAATAAATATCTTCGGAAATAAAGAGCTTAACGTACATTATAAGCGAGTGAGCTATATAAGCGAGTGAGCTATATAAGCGAGTGAGCTACTTTTTTGACGCGACGCGACCCTCTACCTACAACATACCACTCGACAATAACCAACTATATCTGCCACTTTATACGAAGCTAGGGTAAACTTAGCCTTTGAAGCTTTTCAAAATGACGAAAATCTAAGTGTACGGGCCGCTACTAAGATCTACAATATTAATCGTATAACTCTTTTGCAGCGACGCGCTAGCAAGCTTATACGGCGCGATACTACGCCTAATTCGAATAAGCTTAGTTAATCAGAAGAGGATGCTATTATTTAATATATTATTAAGCTATATACGCGAGCTTTTCCACTAAAATTACGTAGTGTAGAAAATATAGCTAACTAACTACTACGCGTACGCGACGCGCCCCCTATTAGTAAGCTCTAAGCACATAACTTCGTTAAACGTTAGCCATAGCTCCGTACGTACTTTACGCATAAATATAATTACTAAAAGGCTAAATGCGAGGATCTAAAGGTTATAGCTAAGTAGTTTACGTTTATACGGAATATTAAAGTTAAGTACGGTATTATAAATAACGATATTTATAATTTCGACGAAATTAGGTTTATAATAAATATTATTTTCGTAAGTATAATAGTTACGATTTTAAATAGCTTTAGTAAAGTAAAACTAGCTTAGCTTAATAACCGCGAATAAGTAATAATAATCTAGGGAGTTAATACCTTCGGCTAAGCTATCTCTCCTTTTATTATTTTAATTATATAATACTACTTTACTAATTAATATACCGAGTATAACTTATTATTTACCTAACGTATCGTAATTACCGATAATAGTTAAACTATTAATATAATAAGTTTAAATTAAATTAAATACTTCGACTATTATATAGCGTCCCGCATAAAAGGCAAATACTAATTATTAATCCTCGACGGCTACGAGAGTTATTACTTAATTAAATTCGAACGTTATTATTAGTAAAATAATATTATTATACTTTATATACCTCTATATTCTTCCTACTACCTTTAGCCACTTAATATCGGCTACTTTAGGCTACTAAAGTAGGTATACGGTTACTAAATCAAAAACTTAATACGTATATATATTAATTATATTAATAAGCTCGAATTTCTCTATACTTTCCAGAAAGCCTTTTTTGCCTCTATAATAGAGAAGGATATACGGGGTAACTTTATCAGTACTAGCTTTACGCTATACGATCTAAAAAAAATATTTTTTTTAAATTAAATATAAAGCTTTATACGTTAATACCCCCGAATTTACGGCCCGGCACTCTATAACCTTAGGTATTTTATATACTATAAAACCCCCGAGAAATTAACTTATAATTAACACTTATTAAGATTCGTATTATTAATTATTAAAATAATTCCCCGACTTTAATATTAATTATAATGGACTAGCTTACTAAAAGTATAACGGCTGTAATGCACTGAGTAGCTTTCTTACAGGCAGAGGTCTCTTCGTTTAGTAAGGCTAATGAGGCACTAAGTAAATGCTGGAGAGCTAAAAAAAAATACGCGTGGAACTTGGAGAGTTATTTACTGTATAAAAGGTATAGGAATTACTAGATTAGAAGGCCGTGGATGGGGAAGGAGTGTAAGAAATGTAGCTAGATAGTAGTAATGTAGGGGGGGCTCGTACGAAGGTTCGGTGCTATGGTGTGTGCGGTTAGCCTAGCCATAATACACGCACTTGCCAAGAGGCTGCAGAATCATCTGATTCAGCTGTTTCTAATGTAATTGTAGTTAGTTCCTAATGTTAGTGTGTTACAATTAAGGGTAATTATAGTAGGGTAGTAAAAAGTGGCTCACTTGCTTATATGGCTCACTCGCTTATAATGTACGTTACTTTATAAAATTAAATTTATATATAGCTTTTAATGATATAGGTTAAATAAAGAAAACGGTTTATATAATAAAATATTTATATTATTATGAGTGCTTTTAAAAGGACTTTAAATTATAAAGGTTTTTTATTATTTATTTTTCATACTATTAAATTACTATAAATAGTTAAGAAATTAATATTTATTTTACTAAATCGAGCCAAAATCATTACGTCTAAGAAGATTACTAATATTATAATTTAAAGCGAGTAGTGTCACGGTTCAGAAGAAGCGGGGTCGCTCGGGCCAGTGAGAACGAGCGACGGATAAGTGGGGCCTGTGGAGCAGGGAATAACACGGACTAGGGGATCTAGGAGTTGGAAGCTAGATCCATGGGATCTAGGAAAGAATAGATAGATCCAGGTACGGAGGTACTTGGAGGTTAAGGTCTATATATACGGAGGAACTGGCTGGTGTAGATGGACAGTTCCGCAGTATGCAATTCACAGCTTGTATTCACGGTATCTTGTGTTTACATTGAGACATCTTGTTGTGCGCTGTTTAGCCGCACCGAACCAATTGTCAGAAGTAGCCTTCAACCAGTATCCCTTTCAGAGGTTCTGTACAGGGGTTCGTCACAAGTAGTAAATAATCCTAAGCTAAGTAGTGAGTTAAAGTAAGTAAGCCGAGGCGAGCCCAGGGCCTGCTTAGCTCAGCTTAGCTCATTGACTACACTGCCTAGATGCCTAGTCTTAGTTGGGACGCACCAACGACACCTGATTCCGTTTAATAGCCTTCCACGGAAAGCATCCCTTCAACACCCGCCTAGATACATAGCTACGTAATGCATGTACCTTGTCTATAAATCGCCAACAGCCAAACCAGTCATCTCAAGCCGATTTGCGGGACCAACCGCCCCCACAGGAAGCTATCACGCAGCCGCAGATCACAAGCAATCAAGGGGAAATTGGTCGACCCAACAGCACTTGTTGGGCTTACATGTGGGTGTTGCGGGTGTGAGGAAGGCAAAAGCATGGCATGACTGGAAGTGGCTGGACGCGTGGCAAGCCTTATAGGGCTGATGACGCGCATAAGTCAGGCAGCTGGCAGCCAGGGTCAGTTAGGCCGGAGATGGTGTGCAGGAGGGAGCGGATATCAACGGTTAGTTCTAAAAGAGACGTAATAGAACGACCCACCCGTGAGACAGAATCTGACCGTGTCCTGTAAGGTACCCGGTATATTCCTTCGTCCATTACAAACGTGCAGATAGGGCCGTGAGGCACCCACCGTGGTGTATGCCTCTCTCAGCGAGCAGTCCACCACCAACTCCGGGCCCTTATCGCCCTCTTCCGACCAACACTGTTGGTAATGCCTATCCTGCATCCGATGAATTTGTCTATAGACTTTGCTTGGTCAACTAAGCGGGCTGGCAATGTGAGACATTGAATTGTTCACGAGTCTCGGTACCTCCTCTGCACCCCAGCACACCCGCGAACCTCTGAACCCCTGAACCCCTGAATTTCCCAGTTTTATACTTGGTACGTAGGCAGTTACTTGACACACTGTCTCCAAAACTGTCAAGCTCTCACGCAATCAGGAGCAGTAGTCACCAAACTGGTGCACATACTCCAACTTCCCCTTCACGACCCTCCCCTCAAACCCTGCCACCTTTCCCCCCACCACCCCCGACACAGTCACCGCGCCAAGAGACTCGTCAATCACATACATTCTCTGCTCTATCTTTTGACCTTCTTTCAATTGCAGCCTCAGCTCCGCACACTGATCTCCCTGCCCAGCTCTGAGATCACCACCCTTTCCAGAATCAAGCATCGAACAGCTGCCCGCCCACGCGACAGGGCCATTCGCATCCAAATACGCATCAAATACCCCCTTCAAGGTCGATCTTGCATCTTGATCCGACCTGCTGAAACTCGGCCACGTTTCTCTCTTCACATTGGCCTGAATTTTTTCGGTACTGTTCCCCGGAGCAAGGAAGTACACAGTGTGAATCTCCTTAACTCTGAGGGGCACTCCCCCGGTGTTGGTGGCGGATTCGTAGAATATCTGCACTGCCAAGATGGCGTCGTTGGTGATTAGACGGGTGTAGCTTGAGCAGCCCTCTTGGTCGATGATGGAATGGGTGTGTAAAGGGCGGACTTGAGTGGTTGCGAGGATGGTTTGGTTGAGGGGGGTGAGGATGGCGTTGTTGTAGAATGGGTAGGGCTTCGGGGCGGGGAAGAAGAGGGGGTCAGATGGTGAGGGGGTATGCTGGGGGCTGGTTTGAAGCTCCGAGTAGCGGTCGGAAGATTGACGTAGATGGGACCATTGGCAACGTTCTGTTGTGAGTGTGATGTTAACGGTGAGTAACTATTTCGGTACGGGGTTGAATAGGCAATGAAAATAACGTACGGCCCAAGACACCGGAAAGAGAGAGAAGAAGCGACAACAGAAGGCGAGAGGCAATCATGATTTTTTTGTTTACGAGGAGGTACATGATTTCGACCACATACTTGAGAATGCGTGCGGGTAGACGTTTCCGTTGCTACATTACTACAAGAGCATTTATAACCGTTCACTGCAGTGTCATCTTTACCGACTTGAACTATCTGCCGTGCCGACTTGAATACCTATGCTACATATCTCCTATGATCACCCCGCGCTGGATATTATCAAAGGACTATCGCATATGCAAATGCTGCTCTGTGGTTTAGCCAGAATTGGTGAGGGGATGCCACCCAGGGCAGAACACCATGACCTCACAAATCAGCAGAAACATCGGCTACCTCCCTTAGATTAGAGAATTACCTAAGTCAAGTCATAGCTCCAAGATGTCATGCCGTGTTGACTTTGGCTTCTTGCTCCAGGTAGCCACACAAGAACAGGCAAGAAAGGGGAAGCTGCCTTGATGTGTGACTTGGTCCCTTCAGTTTTCCCCACGGCATAGGGAAGGTGAACTTCCAGACCTGCATTTGATCGCCAGCCACTCCGCACCCGGTGAATATTCCCCGCGATGATCACCGGTTCGTATCCCGTGAGGACGCAGGCCGCGCATCGCCCGTCCCGACTTGGCGGCCGCCCTCCACAACCAACAATGCCGACCGAGTCAATGTGTCCAGTCACGAACCAGGCCCAGGCAAGACATGTGAGTTTTCCAACCAACAAGACATCTTTTACACTCTGTGTGATATGCGTCTTTATTATTTCTCATGGTCCTCATTCACATGCCTTCAGTTTTGTTTTTGGAGCCCTCTTGGAGGTTTTGCAACTAGCCCCAGACATATGATGCTGCAATAGGCATAGCGCGCACGCACCGCCCTCTGGTCGTTGGTGTAAGGCCTCTGAAATGATTGGATATTCGCACTTCTCCGTCCGACTGATTCGCCCGCTGGCAGGCCCAACATGCGGCCATACCTACCCTGAGTCAGTCTCCTGTCGTCTAGAAGCCAGAGAGATTCCGTACAAAGAAATTCAAACAGGAGGCCTGGTCGTCTCTTGCCTGTGATCCGATCTGTCGGGTCCAACAGGAAAGAAAGGGGGTAGGCATCCGATGACGGGTTCTAAACACGCTGGCGAGCCAATGTAAAGTTGAAAACTGCCAACGGCATCGGTAGAGAATGGTGCAAACTCACAGGTTTGAATGAAGATCGCCACATGTGATTCGGAGATTGTGAAAAGTAGTCGATATAACCAATCTCGTGCGAGAATGCATATCCTGTTGGGCAAACGATGGTGGACTCGAAAGCCATGAACTAACAGTCCGAAGATGGGCGAGTGTTCTCCTGGTTGTTTGCTTCCAAGTTCAAAAGTGATTCGATCATGACACAAACTTTGACGTAAACACCAATAGTGAAGCATGTGAACCCAGATCGGGATGCTCGGTGGTTAAATTCAAGGGAAAGCAATCCGGTAGGCTGCACGCTTGATACCGATCTAATGGAACGCATGTTGACCAATCTAACGGCACAGATATGATCACCACTGTGCTGCCGATCATAGGGCTGAAAAGGTGGCCTCGTGCAGTGGATTCGCTTCTATTGTTCCTACCACTTTGACTCAATGATATTCTTCTGTATTGGCTCAGGCGTCATTTCGTCGCAGAATGCAGTTCTTCTGGCAACAGGCCACTGGATGGTTTACGTTCACTGAATCAGAATTCAAAATCCCAGAGTCACAGGACGAGCGGCCGATGGGCATGCATTGATACTCTCCATACTTTTATGAGCACCTGCTCAAGATACATGTCCGCCTCGCTGGATGTGCTTTGCCTCAGGTTTCGAGTCTCATGTTTGATCTTGCACTCCATTTTTCCATAAATGTAGTCAATTTGGATCCAGCGCATATCTTTGTGTCATGGTTGAGTGCACAGCACACAGTCAGTTCAAGAAGACTTGGCCCCCCTGCTAGGTCGCGCTTAATGCCACCAACCAACCACGCACTAAAATGCACCAATGAAACTTCTCGTACTCCCACATCAAAACCAACCGACTTCTGTTAAGGAGGCGAAGCCACACTCCCACTCCAGGAACTGCGCCGCGAGGTGGTAGCCGTACTTTCCCTACTTTAACAGGGATTTGAGATGCACTCACTCACAGTCACTGCCAATTTAGTGTCCTGTCGGCTCCCAAATGAGTGTGGTATGTACCACCACTGCCACGAGCGGCCCGGGTGCTTGGCCGAAATCCCACGTCTTCAACCACCAGTTCGTGTACCCGTAGTCAGGTACGTCCCAATCTTGGTTTGGCTTCCAAGGCATTCTTCACTGAGGCACGGCCGCCATGTGTGAATCGGGGAGGCTTTGTCTAGACAATGACCACCCGGTGCTAGGGGTGGACCTGTACCTGTCTAGCCTCCTCTTCCGTGACCAATCCGCCTTATTTGTTGGCCAGATCGACACCCACCGTGTAGTTCGATTTCTCTCCTTGAAGAGCAGCACTGTATTGCTAGCAGTTGAGAACCGTACCGGGGCCTGCCAGTCTACCTTGAATTGGAAGACAGCATCTCCATAACCAGATATATATATCAGACGCCCACATCACTTTCTCAGACTTGTTCCAGTATCACCACACACATCGAGATCCCTCTTTACTCAACTCGGCTCTCCACTCAACTCGTTGAGCCAGCGCCATCGTCAACATCGACACCTCATCCCCCACCGACACACTTTCGAGACAGGAGTAGATACCTAGTCACTCACGACACGAGCAACCATGTGCAACTGGGAGGAAACCGTCTATGCGTGCCAGCACCGGAGCAAAGTCCGTAGGCAAGCTTACTCCTGCACCGTCTACACTCGCTACATATACGGTGAATGCCGGTTCGACAGTCGCCGCGACAAGGTTTTCAAAGTCATCAGCTATGAGGACTGCGAGGACTGCAGGAGGTTGTACGAGTTTGTCAACTTCTAGAGGGACGGAACTTTGTATGATTATGGTACGTTGGCTGCACACATTGAAATCTGTCATTGACAAGCTCAAGGTATCTTGCTGACCATCTATCAGGACGCAACGAACTTGTACAACATGACCAGCATTTCCATGGCGAGACGGCTTTCACGGAGCATTCTTATGATCAGCACTTATACACGATAGACCGAGATTTAGAGGCTTTAGATAGATACTGCATCGATACAGAAGTGACCCGCGAGGGAGAGCTCTGTATCATACCACATTTTTGTCACGTCCATGTCAGCATGGGCGATTCGCGACTTTCCTTCAACATAGGCCTTTTGATTCTGTTCATTGTTATTCTATATAGTTTAGAGATACAAATCTTGGCTTAGACTTGGGAATACAACTGTTGTTTCCAATGACATCGGATACTGCTATTGATCACAAATCAACCTCCATTCATCACGTTTCTCATGTCAAGTTTTGCACAGTCGGGTAGTGGCTGAAAATGTGCCATCAGCATGCATCAGATAAATTCATCGATATTTCCGAAACCGATCTCCATATTCTTCGCCCGGGAAAGCCGACTCTCTCGTACGAGGGTTTCGGAGCTGCCCATGAGGTCAGCTATTCTTGATATTGCGGCGTCAAGAGCGCCACTCGGGAGTAGCGGGGGAACAGCCGGCGTTGGGACGGTTTGCCAAGCTATCAACATGCATCAACACCGGCGGTATCAAACACCTATCGCGTGCCAAACCCCGTCACCCTCATAATCATGGAAGATTAACTCCAACAGCTTTTGGCCCCATGAAAGCCCCGAGGGCGATTTGTTGGTGGTACGGCGGGCGATGGAAGAAAATGGGGTGGGGGGCCCTCCGTGGGCGACCCCCGGATCCGGACCAGATTGCTCGGCCCGGTCGTTGTTTTTCGGACCCGTCCCGCACAAGCGAGCAGGTAGTACCAGACAGAGCAGTTATCTCCGGGCTGACTGACCTGCACGAATGCCGACTTTGTCCACATACCGAACCTTTTGCCCTGGGCCGTTGTGCCGGTCTCCTGGAGAGCAATATGTTCGTCAAAATACGCAGCGAACACCAAGAACACGCCACCTACACAAAAACAAAAACAAAAACAAAAACAAAAAAACTTGGAGCATCTCTCGTCCTCGAAGCGCCGGCGTTGGTTCACTGGTGTGCCGTGTTAGTTGTCGATGCTGGCGATGCCACTCCCAAATTGGCAAGGCGGCCAATCAACCCCTGACCCAACATGCTGGAATGCACCGCTGTGCCCCGGACCAGCTTCCCCGACACACAACGGATTTCATTTCTCCCAGCCGAGTGGAACGGTGCTCAGAATGGTGAAGCGGTAGAGATGCGGCGAAGCCAGTTTGACTTCCATGCTTTCATCCTTCGATGCGGTGCTCTTACCATGTTTCGAATGAAGCATTGTCTCAGCCGACTACCGGCGGGGTCAAACACACCATCAGCCACATACCCAGAGATGAGCTCCAGCTCTATCACCCGGCCATCGGGAGAGACATCACCGCCCGCTCCTGTCATCAAATGTCCAGAAAGCAAAAGGTCTGCTTGCACCAGTAAACATAGACTTTGGCGGGCGGTGTTGAACAACAAGTTCCCATCGAGTGCGAGCATCCAGCCACGCATGCCCATGACGTCAGTGCCTTCAGAGAACGGCCCCCAAATCATCATCCTTCAAAATAACCACTCTCCACCTTCACTTCTTTGCTAGTCTCTATGTCGAGAGCTCATTCCGGTCCTTCGGCCGGATGCATGTAAGATTCCAGGAGCTGTACGACCGTCATGTCAAAACAATATGGGGAAGAAGGCTGTACCTGTTTCAAAAGGACTATGCAAGGCTGATACAATCGTTAGTTGCTTTATCAGCACCACTGCGGCACATCGTCGTCTCTTGTACAAAACGTGTCTCCTGCCGGGAATCCCGCAGTAGCTTAATCTCGGCCTTCTCCTTGGCCACCCCTTTGCCGCTCAACTCCACATATCCAGTATCGCCGCATTTCGAGGCCTGGTATTTTCGGCTTTCAGTTGTCGGCGGCCACGGGTCTCGGTCGTGCGTGATCCCTAGCCTCCGGGCCACCTGCATGCAAACCTCACAATCAGGCCTAAACGCCACCTCGAGTAATACTGGCAGGTGATGAGGTGAAAACATTGTTTCGTCCTCATCTTTCGTCTGATCTTTTTATTTGCTGTCGTACGACATTTACCGAGCCTCCTCTCGGCTCTGGCTTTGTCATCCACCTTCCTTTTGCTACCAGCAAAAAGAGTATATGTCTACGATCTACAGGTATCTTACAATGCACCAGGAAAGTTCCGGGCCGTTACTTTCTGGCCGTGGGATCGACCTAGCTTCGGAGGACGTCCCTGTGTGGGTGGTATTGGAATCCATCTCCCCATTGAACACTGGCCTCGCCTGAGTCACAGTAAAAAGGACTGGTTTGTATTTGTCTCACTAAACCATGCAGCCCGTATATCAACAACTGATATCAATCATTCTGCAAAGCGCAAGGTTTCCGCACACCGAGTCATCCTTCATAATGGAGGACCTTTCTCATGAATTGCCTTGAATCCATTACCACGCACGCAGCCTATGATGCAATGGCAACACAACAAAAATAAAACCTTCGAGTCACCGAGATCTAAAAAGCTCCCGAGGGATTCTCGGGACAATCCATCCGCATTGTGCAACGCTCCAGAAACACAAGTGCCGTTTTCCCCTTTCCCCGTGGGGGCCGACTTTTGAAAGTTGGGATGAAGGATTAATAGAGCTGTCTAATGGCACAAGGAGAGGCGTGACTAGTCCCGGATATGATAAACGATAGCTAAGCTTTAGGCAGCCAAATAAACAATTAGACGGGGCCGTGTGCATGTTTCGTGCTGTATATACATACAAGGCTGTGGGCGGACAGGTATCATGCCTTGTCTTCTATGCGACGTCACCACGGGCTCCGGACCGGATAGTAAATCTCGGATGTGATAGTTCTCAATCCTCTCTGTGGCAGATCTTGATTTGGGTGCGGAACAGTCATGCCAAATGAAACAAGCAATGCAAGGAACCACTTCGCAATCAGTTGTACCGGAAACAGAATCCATGATGTCTTTTTATGGCAAGGCTGAATTCCAACCACTGCGCCGAGCTTCGTCAATTCATTGAAGTGATTTTACACTATACTCTCACAGTCTTGTCGTTCTGAATCCAAGACTACGTAGCATAAATGAATCCAAACAAAACTACGTCTTCTGACCAGGATCATCATCCATTCAAGGTTATTGAGGGCGTGTGGCTCAGTTGGTAGAGCGTTCGCTTAGCATACTCCCCTGTATGCGAAAGGTCCTGGGTTCGATTCCCAGCTCGTCCAGCATTCCTAACCTCATCAGATCTCCTGATATCAGATCTCCTGATATCAGATCGGGCGTGTGGCGCAATTGGTAGCGCGTTCGCTTTGCAACAGCATCTCATGCGAAAGGTCTTGGGTTCGATTCCCAACTCGTCCAATTGTCTATTCTTTTGCTGTTCACGTGTGGATTTGTTTTTGCTATAGAGATATTCTTTTTGGCCGAGGCATACATTCTTATCCATGTCCGACTCTACAGTCCTGATACAGCTTGTGTTTTATCTCGATGTGCTCCTTGAGACCTTTAGTCATACCAACACTGTTGACTGCCCGGCTTACACATCCCAGTCAAGAATATCATATGTACAAACTCACAGAACCACCGAGATTTGTTGACGAAAGCTTGTTTAGTCATGAATGGAAACATGCATCCCTGATCGGACCGCATTAGTAGACACCGCATATAAACAAGCAACAAACGAGCAGAAACAAGCACAAACAAGCCTCGGACGGAGGACGTCAGCTGCGGCTGGTGATAATTGGTGGTGTCGGGATTAGCCAGATTGCCTACCCCAGACTCTGTCGAGTTCGTCATTTAGGCTGCGTCCGAGGAATAATTGTCGATCAACGTACCCGCGAGCCGCAATTGGAAAATACGTGCCAAGACCCATTTATACCGGGCCCTTCCGGTCCTCCTCCTCGCTTCTCCAGGGGACTAGGCTGATGATCTGAGGGGTTATGTTTGGGATAGCTTGCTGGACTGGAATGTAGCTATTTGAAGGGACTCACCGCTGCCGAGATTGACCTTTTGTGACCTGTCCTCCTCTCCATCAAGCTCAGATTTTTGACCCTCCCTGTGAGAAACCATCCATCACGATGCTGTCCCAAGTAGCTCTTGTCTCCCTGTTGGCCAGCGCCAGCCTCGGCTCAGCAAGCCCAATCACCCCACGACAGGCCGCTCAGCAGGTTGTCCGCATCAACTCGATCGAGAATGTCGCCGTCCGTTCCAACGGCCTCATCCTGGCCACCAACATGAACAGTGCAACCCTCTACTCGGTCGACCCCGTAGCCAAGACATCCTCCACCGCCCTCTCCGTCTCCGGCACCAACGGGCTCTCAGGAATCGCCGAGTACCAGCCCGACCAGTTCGCTGTCATCGGCGGCGGCAAGTCCATCTACAAGGTCGACTTCTCCTCCGGCACCCCCCGCTCCACCCTCATCAAGACCATCACCGAAGCCCAGAATCTCAACGGCCTGGCCTACTTTGACAACTCGACCGTCCTCGTCGCCGACGCCGGTCGCGGCAACGTCTACAAGATCGACGTGAACACGGGCGTCTACTCCGAAGTTGCCCGCGACCCGACCATGGCCCCATCAGGCGGCATTCCCTTCGGCATCGACGGCATCCGCTACGCCAACGGGACGCTGTGGTACACCAACATATTCCGCAACTCGTTTCACAAGATCCCCCTCGACCCCGTCACGGCCAAGAGCACGGGCGCCCAGACCACCCTCTGGACCAACCTCATGGGCGATGACCTCTGCTTCGGCCCCAACGGCAAGATTTATGTCACAACCAACAGCAGGAACTCCCTGGTCGAGGTTGACCCGACGGCTGCCAGACCCAGCCCCGTGAGCGTGGGGACCGTGACGGGCAGCACGAGCTGTGCTTTTGGGCGGACAGACAGGGACAGAAACGTTGCGTATGTCGGCGGTGGACAGGGTGTTTTTGCTGTTACTATTCGGGTCTGAACGGTGGAAGCTGTTTGTTTCCTAGTATCAAAACAACACCAGACAACAATGATGTACATATAAGAGGAATAAAAGATCAAGATGCTCTCATTTCTCCTGCAAAACCTTGATGAAATCCTCCAACCCTTTAGCCAGAACCTCAGGTTGCTCCAACTGTGCAAAGTGCCCTCCTACTTCCTCCTCCCTCCAAAAGACCAGGTTGGAGTACTTCTCTATCCATGCTCTTGGGGTAGGGATGACCTCATACGGGAACCACATCATGCCCACCTTTTTCGGCGCCATGACCGGGAACTGCGCGTTGCTTGATGGCGGGGCCCGGCCGTTGAGGGCAAACGCCTCCCGGTAGGAGTAGAAGCTGGTGTGGATCTTGCCGGTGAGCCAGTAGAGTGCCACGCTGGCAATGATTTCATTCATCAACTTTCTCGAGTACCGAGCTCCGCTGGGTAGTGTCTGGTCTTGGGTAAAGGAAAGGGGATCGGTCCAGTCGAGGTACTTTTCTCCTATCCAGGCCAGCAACGCAAGAGGGCTGGCGGACAAGGCCAATCCTAGTGTTCCTGGTCTGGAGGCGGCCATCATGGCGTAGGCAGATCCATCGTTGCGGAACCAGTCACCTCTTTCCAATCCCCTTTTGTCTTTCTCGCTCAGTGTTGTGAAGTCAAAGCTTTCTGGCGGCGGAACAGGGCTGTAGTTGACGAGCACGGCACTGCACTGCTCACATCGGTTGCCGAGAACGCGTGCAATGCGTGACCCGATGTCGCCACCTTGAACTACATAGTTCTTGAGGCCAAGGGTGCCAACCATGAGCGAGTCAACGACGAAGGCGACATCCTCCATGCCGTAGTTTCTGTCATTGGGAAACTGGTCGGAGAAGCCAAAGCCAGGTAGAGAGGGCGCAATCAGGTGGAACCGTAACCGACCAGGATCCGGGTACTTTTCTCTTAGAAGGCTGAAGAGGGGAAGAAACTCCAAGATGGAGCCAGGCCATCCGTGAAGAAAGACGACTGGCACAGCGTTGGGGTTCTGGCTGAAGATTCCGAGGAATTGAACGTTGATCTGTTCTCCTTGTTCGTTGACGGGCACTGAAGCGGTGAAGTTGGGGAAACTGTTAATCTGGGATTCGACTGCTCTCCTAAGATACTGTCAAGACAGGTGCTCGCAAGTGGGAAAAGAAAGAGGAGAGGTTGGTTACCAGCTGAATTCCTCTTCCCAAACACGCTTAGCCTCCACCAGCCATTCTCTTCTCAGCCCCAGCTTCCGGCTGCCGTCGGGGAGTGAATTCTCGTAGCATTCTCCCGGTATGGGGGATAGCTTGAGCAGAGTCTGAGCCCGATCAAGCTGTCCCTGGTCGATGTTAACCGTGTAAGGTGCTACTTCTTTGGGAAGTTGCACTGTCCCAGAGGGGGAGCCCCAGGTTGAAGACAACATTATGCAGAAGAGAATGCTGATGGATTCGTTCTACCACCAGATATCTTCTCAAGCTGGAGGAAGAGCTATCAAGTTATATCCATCTGGACCTCCATGTCTTGAACGGCAGTCAACGAGATAGTGGGGCCAGCGTCACCCCGCATGCATACCCGTTGAGAAGGGCGGGGGCAACAGCCGAGCCGAGTTGATCGCCGTCATCCTGGAGCGCGAATGGCGAGGTGTGGTGGGCCTTGTGCTGGCTCTTGGAACCCTATCTGGAAAACATGGCGATGTGTGATCGATATGCAGATGCCTCATGGGTTTCCTGGTGATGTCAGTTGATGACTGCACCAGGCTGAGGTGGGTTCACTTCGGGTCACATGGCTGGTGACTGCCAACACAGCACCAACAAAAGTTACTCCGTAAAGGCTGTGTTAGAGAGGTGAGAGGACGTGGATCAATAACCGCCGAATCGAGGACGGAAAATCGCCGAAGAGAAAGAGAGTCGGATTTGTGAGTGCTCATCCCGTCCGTGTCATCCTGACAGCTCTTGGCGGGGTGGCTTGCCAAGACGGCTTCGGATCGACTGACTGGCCAATGAAATCTCTAGCAAAAAGCCACAGTGGAGCAATCGGAGGAACGTTGCGATGGACCCCCGACTCTGGGTGCGCCAACGTCGCATTCTAAGACCAAACCACCACCACGGCGCAATATTTATCACCATCATCCATCATCCCGCTGCTGGTGGAGGCGCATTGTTTGCTGGCGTCACCTTCTCGAGAGATCTACCCCGAATCGGACAAGAAAGACAGAGATGGCGTGTCCGTCTTGCGAGTGCCGGATGCGACTTGGGGGAATAAAAGGGAGCAACCTCCTCCCTCTTGTCTTCTTCCAAGAACCTGACTGACCAAAAGATTCTCATCAGCCCTACTGACCCGAGTTATTAAACGCCTCCACCACGACCTATATACCTTCTATTACTTATTCAACCTCTATCCTCACCCCGCAATGTCCAAGTCCATCCTCTTCCTCGGCGCAACCGGAGGCGTAGGCTTCTCTGCCCTCCAGCGCTCCCTCGCTGCCGGCCACTCCTGCACAGCCCTCTGCCGCACACCTTCCACTCTCTCCGACAACATCCCGGCCGAAGTCGACCAGAAGTTGCTGCGGATAGAGCAGGGCAATGCTCACGACGTCGATGCTGTTCTCCGCGCCCTTCTCCCTTCACCGTCCTCGCCCCGCCAGGGCCTCCCAGATGTTATCGTCTTCTCCATCGGCGCCTACTTCAACCTGTCCAAGATGGGCATGGACGACGCTCACGTGTGCGAAAATGGCATCAAGACCGTCTTGGCCGCCTTGCAGAAGGCCAGAACAGAGCACAACCTGCAGGGCAAGCCGCGGATTGTTGCCCTCAGCTCCACAGGCGTATCCGACTTTGGGAGGGATGTACCGTTGTTGTTTGTTCCGTTGTATCATGTCGGTCTGAAGGTTCCCCACAAGGACAAGAAGGCCATGGAAGACGCTTTGGTCGAGAGTGAGGAGGAATGGACCATTGTGAGGCCAAGTCTATTTGTTGACGGTGCCAAAGATGGTCCCAAGCGGGAGATCAGAGCCGGGAAGGAGGATCCAATCAAGGGAGTGGTGGAGAGTAAGGCAGTTGGCTATACCATCAGTCGGGAGGATGTCGGGAGGTGGATCTTTGAGAACCTGATCGAGGGAGAGAAAGCTGGAGAGTGGCTCAGGAGGATGGCTGCCATTACATACTAATATCTGACCAGTACTGAAATTTCTGTCCTGATGGACTCGTGGGGGGCTTTCTTGGCTCTTGTCTTTTTTGGTTGTTAACCTATAGATACCATATCTTGTTTCTGCAGCATTTCCTCTTCTCTTAATAGACTTTGTTAGCTCAACGGTGTCAGATTTGTCTCCATGTCACCAACAGCCTCCTCTTCCTCTCCACTTAGGTACCGGCCCATTCAAACTTCCTGTGGCTTTCCGTCAACTTATAAGCTTTTCACCTTAAGCACAAAGTCTTGTCTGTCCACCACAACAAGAAATTCCCCAACACTCCACGAAATTTCACCAGACAACCGTACCGGACTCACGACGCAATACCTACTTCACCACGGTAGCTTCATCAGCCGGACCGCGCCTCTCTGACCCGTTTTTTCTCCCATCGACATCAACACTGGTGACTCTACTACACCGTTCCACTCAAGCAGACAAGATGGCTATGGATCGCCCCCTCAAGACGGTCATCGGCGTCAAGCTGGTCTTCTCGACGGCCTGGGCAGTCAACTATCTCGAAAGATCGCGCAAGTCACCAGCCCAAAAGGCTGCTCAAGGCAGCTCGGCCCAAGAGCAGAAGCGGCATCGGCTCCAACAGGTTATCCAGCAGCAAGATAAGCGTCAGAGAAGCAATGCGGATGCTGGTCGCGAGTGAGTCTTAGCTTACTCTTCTTTAAGGATCTCAGAGTGCTAATTTGGCTTGAACTCGAAGGGGACTCTGGAAGCCCCCTCAGAGGTAGAATGGGTATTGGTTAAGAACATTGGTTTGAGGCTCAGCTCTGTGGGGCTTACTGGGTCAGTCTTCAGTCTACATGTGTCTGAACAGGATAGACAAAAGTTTCGGATTTGGGAGCAGGGCATTGGACACAATGTACCACGGGCAAGCTTGGCACGTAATACAGACGTTGGAGTTCCCAAAGATCATTTATGGATGCCAATATTTTACACTATTCTCAACCTCTTGAGTGCCTCATCAACTTCTAGCAGGCACCAAGAAGCCCTCAAAGAAGCTTCCCAGAGACTCGACATCCTCCAACCTGCAAACCTTGGCAACATCTAGTTTCGGTAATCGTCAGCATCCACTCGAAGCTCCACACACGAACAGAAAGAAAGTACTCACAGTGATCAGGCCGCACGACCACAATGGCGCCCTTGGAAGCATCGACTCCATAAGCCTCATACGCATGGCCGTGTCCCGAGTTGTAGCTCTCATCATCGGCATAGATCTTGCCCAGATTCTTCATCTTCCACTTCCCGGTTACCGGTGTGAAGAAATCCGGGATGGTGTCCAGTTCAACCTTCTTCCTGTCGCCCGCTGTCACCAATATCCGGTCGATCACGCCATCTGGGTCCACACCAGTCGGCGTGAGGCGCTGGACTGTTTGGGAGAGTGTTGAAGAGATCTGTTGGCGGTGACATCAGCATCAGAACCCCCATCCTCCAAGACGTTGTATCAAACTCACCTCGTCCAACCTCGACATCGCTTCGGGCTGCGACAGATCTCCCGAGAACACCACGATATACCACTGCCCGTTCGCTGGCAGCCCCTTCACAAGCTGCATGGCCTTGGCGTCACACGACCGCACCACTTGCGCCGTGGGAAACCTCATGCCGACTGTCACCTTTGCCACCAACTCCTTGTCGTGCTCTCCAATATCGGTTATGGCAGACGCATCGTACTGCACAGCCTGGCCAGCCGTGTACCTGCCCGCCTTGGTGAACTGCTCCGCAAACATCCCCGCCGTTATGCCGTGTTCCTGGCGGTACTTGGTGTTGAAGAGCTTTGTGAATTTGCGGTCAAAGTCGATCAGCTCGGTAGCCGTCCGCTCCCGCTCAAGCACATACGTCTCGAGAATATCTGGGCGTGCAAGGCCCTGCAGGACCATCCCAAGCTTCCATCCAATGTTGTGGCCGTCCTGCAGACTGACGTTCATACCCTGACCGGCTTTGGGAGAGTGAGTGTGGCACGCATCACCTGTCAAAAATACACGGTGATCTTGGTGGAAGAAGTCGGCTCTTCTTTGACCGATGGAGTAGGCTGACCACCAGAAAGTCTCCGCAAAGTCCATCTCATAGGGGTGAAACACCTTGCGGGCGTGGTCGTGCAGCTTTTCGAGGCTGACATCGCTGACTTTGGTGCCTGCGGGGAGCTCGGTGTAGAAGCGGACCATGGAGTCGCCCTCTCTCGGGATGAGGAGGATGTTGCCGACTGCTGAGTTGATGACCGCCTTTTTGCGAATGTCTGGGAAGTTTGTGCGGGGGTAGATGTCCATGACACCCCAGACTGCGTCTGAGCTGTCGCCCACCATCTTGAAGCCGAGGGATTTCCTGACGATGCTGTGTGCGCCGTCACAGCCCTATTTACCCAGTCAGCACGATGTTGCTTATTCCGCACCCATGGCGTTTGAAGGGGCAGACATACAAGCACATATTTCGCCCGATACGTCTTCTGAACTCCGTCCCGAACAGCATCTACTCTGACCGGGTAAGACTCCAAATCGTTGCTATCCGCATTCTCATCCACCACCACATTCTTCACCTCGCATCGGTACTCAATCGGTGGGTTCGACCCCAACAACCCCGTCATCAACTCGTTGAGTCTCGCCTGGTTGAGGATGACGTGCGGCTGGTGGCTGATCTCGGTCTCTTTGTCGGCCTCGTACTTGGCCCTCTTGATGCCCTTCTCGGCGTCGGGGGCGGACCAAAAGGCAATCTCCAGCACGTGGTAGGCCTCCCGGAGCATCTCCTCTGCTATCCCGAACGAGTCGAAGATCTCGACTGTGCGGGTCTGCACGCCGTCTGCCTGTCCAATCTCGAGGGGGCCATTGCGGCGCTCGAGGATCTTGTAGGGGATGTTGAAGCGGGCCAGCCAAACGGCCGCGCAGAGGCCTGCTGAGCCTGAGCCCGCGATGAGGACGGGGACTCTTTCTTCTGGTGTCATTGCGTGTGAATGCTTGGATAAGGTAGGTACCTAGATATGATCGACAGCAGAAGGTGGGGGAATAAGACCGGTGTTGAGCTGGGGTTGGCTGTAAGTGAGAAATCTAGAAGGCCGAGTCAGGGATCGGCAAGTGCAAGAGCATAGGTAAGCCAGCGTATATAAGTCTGTTGTGCGATTCCTGTCCTACACATGTAACGGCTGGCAATCATCGCGAAGTGCGACAGGGAGTGCAGCTGTTACTCGCCACCGGACACCGGGCCAAGAGATTGCGTGCCCCCATCGCGTCGCGAGCAAACGTCCGAGGGCAGTGACGACAGAAACACCATCTGCCGGCCGGGAAGGGGGTCCAACAAGACGGGATCATCCCGATGTTGAGGACGGATGCTCCGCCCTGGCTCCGGGGAAAAGGATGGGGCTCCACTTCTTTAGTCCGGGGAAGTGCGGGCTGTGGAGGGAGCTAGAGAGAACCAAGAAGCTTGTGTCGGCCCGGTCGCTATCTTCCCCGCATTGTTCTGGACGGCACTCGCGGGCGAGGGGGAGAAAAAATATCCCGACGTCGGCGGTGACATGTGATGGTTGTGGTAACCTCCTTCGGTGCGGCTGTTGAGTGTGCTCAAAGAACACGAGCAAATTTGTGACCGTGTGGTTATGAAGGCTGTCGTGGCACAATGCCTGCTCTCGCCTAGCTGCGCCTCTTGCAAAGTTCTGCGTCTGAATGAGCAAATTCCACCACCATGGGCTTCTGATTAGGGCTGTGAACAAGGCTCACAAAAAAGAGCTGAAGGGTTTATTGATCCCATGTAAAACACCTATTGGCATGATCCGGATTCCTGGACCAACTTCGCGATACTGAGATGATGGAATCGACTGAGGAGAAGCCATCTGCGGGCACCATGACCACGGACTCGAGGACCAAATTGGCAGCAATTTGGACCCAACGTTGTCCCACTTTCAGTATCAAATTTACAATATTACCCCATGGCATGAACACGTACAACGCAGCATGGTGTGCAGTTCTCTGGGTCGCCAGCGACGACATCCCATGTCTCATGCGGGAAGGATTCCATTTCACCGAAACCAATATGTGTGATGAGCTAGGGGTCAATATCACCGAACAGTAGTGAAACGGAAACGACTGTACCATTCGTCTGAATTTGAAGTCCCATGGGCTTACAGAGCGCCGCTCTTACGTTCTGACCGATTTTCCACCCGAAGAGGAGAAGCGCTGTGGACGGCGGGACTCTTGGTTTTCGCCAAAGATCTTGACGTTCTCTCCAATTTCAGAGTGAGGGACTTGTCCCCAAATATGATTTGTGCCTGTACGGCCGTCAGGAGGGCAAGGAGCTTGTATATTCTTACTCCACCTCGCCCAGGCACCTTTTCAACACACCATCTACGATGACCGACCACTTGAGGGTTTCTTTGAACACAGCCCTGACAAGACCGGGTAGCAATGAGGCAGGACTAGACGGAGAGAACAGTTCATCCACCTCGGGGCCATGATCAAGCTGTCATGTATCGCCAATTCATGCTATATACAAATGGTGCCCTATGTTCAGATGGGCTCTCCAGTCGCTCCTTCCTCAATCGCGTCGTTCCTGCCTCCATCGTGTTCTGTCCCCCTTCCTTGTCTCGATATCTGTTTTTGGTTCGCGTCATTGTCGTTAGTTTCAACTTTGGCGGAATCTTTTGCCAGATGACATACCTGGAAACCGAGGTCTTCTATACGAGTGGATCTTTTCACACTGCTCGACAGTTTGTGCGTGCGTGTGTGCTTCATTCGCAGATGGCGGCACTCCTCAACAGTTGGCGGAAGAAACTGTTCTCTACCACCACCAAGTGAACGTCTCGTCATCAAGAACGCGAATCTCCCTGGTGTCCACCTGATCGCGCTTTTGCTTGTTTGAACGGCCTTCTTTCAAGTAGCCAGTGTGGTAGTCCTGATCGGAGTCCGTCTCATCGTCGCTGGCGTCAAACTCATCGAGGTGTTGCTTCTCCGAATGACCTTTTTTCAAATAGCCCGAGTGATGATCTTGGTCGGAGTGGCTGTCGTCCTCGCTATCGTCCTTCTTCTCCTCAGGCTCAAAGTGTTGGGATTTGTGTGAGAACCTCTTCATCCGAACGATGGATTCTCGCCTCTTCTGCAAACGAAGATCGAGGTCGACGTCAGGGTCAAACCTCCGCATTCTCCTCGTGAACTGGAGCAGGGGCCGCTTATCTTTCATATTGGCGGCGTACTTGTTGAAATCAGCGGGGGTCTTGAGGAAGACCCTCGCGCTGTCTTCGCCGGCCTCCAAGTCGAATAGGGCAGAGCCGCGCTTCTGGGCCGCAGTGTCGAAGGCGTGTGATGAGCCAAAGACGTCATCCGGGTCGTAAAAGACTTTCTTGGGCGGTGTAACGTGCTCGGCGTGCTCGGCGTGCTCGACTGTGGGCTGGGCTGTGTTGTCCTGTGTGAAGGTTCTGCTACCTGTTGTGTTGGGTGATACGGTCCCCTTCCACCCAGCCGGAGGGTCTTCCCAGCCGTTTCTGATGGCCATCTCAGTTTGCTTGTCGTAAACGCAGGAAGGCTGCTGGCTGAGTTTGAGAAGCATCCCGAAGGCCCAGTGGTGCTCGAGACACAAGGTGTTTGAAGAAGCGGAAGGTGCCATCGTGATGAAGTGTAGGTAATGAAATAAGGTAGGTTTGATTGATGGTGAAGAGGAAGACGTTGATGAAAGGCAAATGCGGTGTTTGGCAATGAAGGTGAACGGCTGGATAAGTGAAGAAAGTTCCAGTTCCGGTCCCCGGATGAAGATGGTGATGAGAGAGTAGGATGGGGGAGAAGAGAAGAAGGAGGAGGACGCTGCCTTTATAGAGGACTGAAGACGCCCAGACCCGCAGTTCACCTACGGGCCCTCTTTTTGAGGGTATTCACCTGTGCTCACCTCCCTGAACAGTTGCTCTTACCTTATCCAAAGCAGAATTTTCGGGCTCACGGGCTCTTCTCGTGACTCTCGTGGTTGCAGGCGGGCCGTAGGGGGGTGGGAGCGACTTTCTAGAGGCTTGGAATAGTTCGGATGAAAACCTAGAGCCGAACCTTCCATATTCACTTGCTCCTTTGGTTCCATCTCCGGACTCCGCTGAGCGACCATTTTACGTCGAGTCCTGGCCTCATGCATCTTGTGCAGTGTCTGTTCTAACTCGAGGTCGCCATCTGGATCTCGGTTGGCAGGAGAAGGCTTTACAACAGAGCTGAGGATAGGTGCCTAATGGTCCTTGAAATTTTACTAAGTACATACTAACCTCTAAGTTTCTGGACAGTTGCTCTTTCCAAGGAGTGACTTGAAAGGTGTTAAATTCTATAACTGGCTCACTTCGTGACACTTTGAATTGAACATTTCCAGTGAAGTAAAAAAGTCGGCACTGGCTGGCTGGATTTTGTTCCGTGGCGGTCTGGACGCCTAGCACTCACTCATCAACGCTCTTCTGCTTCTTTTGCTCTCTTCACTCCTGTTCAATCATTAGAGTCGCGCCAACACTTGAGGCGACACTCCCCACGATCCCTCTTCTTGAATGCCAAAAATCTCCGTTTCCTTCTCGGTTCACCCTTCATCTCGAGTCTCTCTTCCATTTCCTGTTCCAGGTCATCCAAGCCCTCAACCCAATTACCTACACTCGGTCTCCGCAAGGTCGTATTTCTGATGCTCGGCATAACTGGCATAGTCGGCCGCCGTTTTAAGTGATATGCTCGCGAAGTCCTGGGTTTTGATCTCTTCATTATACTGCGAGTGGTCCGTGGGCGTGCTGCTGGTCGTCCTAACAACGCCCCATGGATTGCGATACTTGGCTTTTATCACAGAAGGAGAAATTTCCTCTGCAACCCTTGCTTTGCTGGAGGTGCTTAACCGGAACTGTGGCAAATATCCATATAGTAGTGGTGTCCAAACCATCATGGTCACCTCAGAACTTCTTATCATGCTCTTTCTCTTCATCTTCCTGCACCACCTCGCTATGTATTTCCCGACAGACCGTAGCCACAGGTAGTTTCGGGTTCGAACTCGATGAAGTTGCGGCTCTGTGTGAACCTTCTCATAGGCATGGTATTACTGCTGCGTAGATAGATATGCACGGGCTGTCTTATACAGGAAGTACGATGTTTGAAGTCAACAGTGGAAGTCAGGAAAGACAATCAAACATCGAAAGCAAAAGCAAACCATAATATAAGAGCGCCATGGCATCCGCGTGCTGGTCCGTGTACCTAACTAGAGGTTATCGTTAGGTATGTAATTCGGGCGAGGGAAGTGTTGAGAGGCTGTGGGAGAAAAGTGCAAAAAGCAAACGATAATTTAGCTGCGACTCGTTTCGATCGAGTGACCTCCGGGTTATGAGCCCGGCGCGCTTCCGCTGCGCCACGCAGCTTGTTAAGCTGATTTGTTGATGTGGATGGTGAAAATTTGACTCTTAAGGCAAGGAGCAAGGTTGTTGTGGGGTGGGTCAAATTGAGGACGGATGGAATAAGGTGTGGAAGAGGCGGAAAGTAAGAATGTGACTCATGATTCCTAAGGTTTCACTGATCTCCGTGATTTCGCAGAGACTCCTCAAGCACACGTCTAAAGAAGGGATGGTTGGTCCTCTGCCTTGCCCCGGAAACCCATAGACCACATCGGAGGTTTTGCTTTGCAAACAACACACACTTCCATTGCCCGTTTTGCCATCCTACCAAACACCAAGCTAAACTACCTACCCCGGACAGCACAGATTCTCTCAGACCATTATCCAATCCACCGCTACTTCCCATTAAGAATCCCCTGCTGAGCAAACCGCCACACATCTGCCTCCCCGACCAAAAGCGCAAGCAGATATCTCTCCCAATATCCCACCAGCGGCTCTTCAGGCAAAGCAACCTCCTGTGGCACCCTAGCCTGGCCTTCCCCCACCACCTTTCTTTGATAAACCCACTTCCAGTGATGATCAAACTCTCCGACAGGATACATACATCGCTCAGGATACTCGTCAGTGCCAAGCGTCAGTTCTCTCGGCCGGATTCTCCAGGCCTTGACGAATTCTTCTTCGCCGCTACTCAGCGCGCTACCCCTTTCCAACTTCCACAACGGGCCTCCTTTTCTCCTCTTGTCACCCTCCTCAACTGTTTCAGATTTGAGGAGGGAATCGCAGGTCCAGACATCTTTGTCATCTAACCCCAACCCTCCACAGGCCAACCGGATCCTGACACAAGCGTGTATCCTCTCGCTCGTACCAAGCAAAGGCTCGCTGGTATCTTCGTTTGTGTCTTCATCAACCCGCATAAACAGGCCAGGACGCCGAACGGTCTTGCCGGCCACAGTGGTCACTACACTGGTAGGACTTCTGATCAAACCCAGGCCCCAAGGCCGAGCAAACTGCCACAACTGGGGCAAGGGGCCATCGGGGTGGTCATGCTTTCCATCACACTCGTGAGGATCTCGTTTGGGGGCTGAGAAGGGGTGTCGAAAGACGGCAGCGTGGCCCCAAGGCTTGGGGCTTCCTGGAGCCAAGCTCGCACTTCCATTGGCGGTGCCATTCCCGTTGGTGGTCCCGTTTGACGAGGAGTTCCTTCCTCCGCGAAGGAGCTTGCTCATGGATCTGGGGATGATGGACTTGGCCACTGACCCAATCGACGAAGTCTTTGATTGCGGCGAGAAAGGGAAGGGGTGAGCAGCGGAGAAGCGCAGTGATTCCAAAAACATATTGGTCATGCGTGGGTGATTGAACTCCAGTCCCAATGTCGAGAGTTGATCACACATCCCTGTATTTAATATCAGCACAGCCCACGCCAAAGAGGAGGCAGAACTTACAGGCCAGTGTGATGTCTGATATCTGTTGGTCCCACCAACCACCACCGACATTCCCATGGTTACCAGGAAACCATACCTGCTTCAGGTTTGTTGTACTTCCAGGTACCCTTTCCCAGAGGGCAGGCCTGAAAGCATATCTCGGCTCATCAAGAGCCAAAGCCTGAAAGGCGTTCTCGACCTTGGCCGAGATTTGCGTGTTGGTGAACCTCCATTGATCAGCGCTTCCTCGAACACCGATCACTGGAGCAGGCGGGATCCCAAGTGTTCCCACCGTGTCCCAAACCGCAAGAGCCTTGATTTTGATCTCCTCGCCAATCTCTCCAGCTCCAGCATGGAACGTATCCCGCGTGAGCTTCTTCTCCCTCAAACCCCGCTTGTACGTCTCCTTCCTCCTCTCCTCCCACTCAATCTTCTTCTGCCCATGCTGTCCCTTGTACTCCTCCAGCCCGTCAATCAGAAAGTCGTCCGTGTCTCTGGACGACGAGCCCATGTTTTCGTAATCATCAAAGATGGCAAAAAATTTGTCCAGCCCTTCCGGCGTCAACAGTCCCACGCTCGCGACCATATCAGCGACGCTACGGGCAGTAAACGCTCCTCTGCTGAAGCCAATCAGGATGATGTCGTCCCCGTCGACGTAGTTGGTGCACAAGAAGTTGTACACCTCTCGGATGTCTGCGTCCAGCCCCATGCCGAACGCTCCGCCGGTGAACTGGTCCAGGCCGTTAGCTGTACCTACACCGGCGAAGTAGTTGATAATCTGGGGCCTGCCATCACTGCAGGTGCGGCAGAGAACACGCGAGATGCGGGTCACATTTGAGGGTGGTTCGTGCCTTTACGTCGTTAGTATCCCAGTATTATCATGACGAATCGAACCTCGACGTGGCATACCCTTTTTTTCCCAGCGAGTTCATCCATGTTCCATCACAGCAGACAATCAGTCTCTTGGGCGTCCCCCGGCGATGGGGGTGAGCAGGATCAAGCGGTGATGCCATGGAGAGCAGGTATGGTCATTCTTGTAGAGGCCCTGTCAGGAACCGAGGGTCAAGAGGAGAAGAGTGGCTTTTATCCTCACCCAAAGCCCGTGATACAATGTCTCACAGCCACTCTCACAAATCAAGTCCTCAGACCGGGTCTCGGGTGTGCAGAGTCGATCGTGAGAACCATGAATGAGACGTACAGCTTTGCCGAGTTTTGTTTTCCCCCAAACCAAGACCATTCGGGCATCCCAAAAAGTAGCTGACCGCCCCCCGTCAAACCACCAGAGGGAGAAGGAGCTGCAGTTGATGGCTGGCTGACACTGTGGGCTAGATGTCGGGGATCTACAGTGCATGAGGGTGTCCCCATGTCAACAAATCAGAGCCTCTACTAAAACCCCTGCTTGTCTCCAGGCGGCCAGCCTCAGCGCTTGGCCAGCAGCGCCATCCACTGGAGGCTGGGCCACCTGCGGTCGGGTGAACCCCGAACGAGACAATGGGAGAACGTGTCGTGATCGAGTGGTAGCCGCCATGTCCGCCTTGATTTCCCTCTTTGTGCTGTGTGTGTGTGTCGCCAGCAAGCTGAGTGAAGCGAACAGACGAACAGAGCAAGTCGTCGGGTGTCATGTTGATCGAGACGGGCGCACAGTGCACCCTGCAGCGACCCGCCCGCTAAATGAAGAACCCCTGTTGTTGTTTGGTAGCGCCTCGGTTGAGCGATCCGTGCCGCTTTCCAGAAATCGGCTTGGGGCTCAGTCAACCAGCCCCCTTACATGCATGCAACCTGATAGGTACCCCAGATTACACTTCAGCTGGCGTGGAATCATCAACGATCAATTACTACCTCAGTCTCATGATGCCTACGACAGAGGAGGCGTGTCATTAAACTCATCCAACAACCCAGGCGGCACCCGTATCCCCGCAAACCCAAAGTCGTTCAACCAACCCCGTATCTCCCTCTCCTCGTCTTCACTCACCTCCACCCGCACCGCGCCGACGTTCTCCTCCAAATACTTGATATTCTTCGTCCCCGGAATGGGAAAGATATCCTCCCCCTGCGCCATCAACCAAGCCACAGTCAACTGACCAGGCGTGCAACCTTTCTTGTCCGCCATGATCCTGAACTTTTCCACCAGCGCCAGATTCTTGGGGAAGTTCTCCTTGCTGAACCGGGGAAACAGCCGTCTCAAGTCCCCAGGCTCAAAGTCATCCGGCGACTTGATCTGACCCGTCATGATGCCCCTTCCCAGCGGGGAGTACGCAAAAACGGCGACGCCCAAGTCCCGGCAGGTCTGAAGCAAGTAATTGGTCTCGGGCCCTTCAATGTCGAGTGACCAAGGGCTGTATTCCACCTGGTAGGCATCAACATGGTCGATGGCAGCAGCCCGGCGAACTGTATCCGCCGACGCAGCCGAAATCCCAATGTGCCGGATCTTGCCCTCGGCTTTCAGCTTGACCAGCTCGGCCATGGTGTGCTCAATGGGCGTCTTGCCGTCTACGCGGTGGATGTAGTAGAGGTCGATGTACGATGTCCCGAGCCGCCGGAGGCTCTTTTCGCACTGCTGGCGGCAGTAGGCCGGGGAGCTGTTGATGGTCAGGCCGTTGGGGCCGTACTGGAGGGCAAATTTGGTGGCGAGGAAGATGTCGGCGCGGCGTTCGGGGTGGAGGGCGAACCACTTCCCCAGCAGGTCTTCGCTGTCGGCGTACATGTCGGCCGAGTCCCAGTTGGTGTAGCCTAGTTCCCAGGCTCGGTCGAGCACTTTGAGGCGGTCTTCATCCGAGCTGTGAGGGAGTTAGTCTCATTCAACATCGTCATGATGAGACTGGAGTGCTTCACTCACCCGACAGAGCCGTATGCAGTGCTCAGTCCCATCAACCCGAAACCGATGGCTGGGATTTCAGGGCCGTTTTTGCCCAGCCTGCGGGTGGGAAGCTTGGCTGGAGGTGCCATTGGATGGTGCTATCACAGACGGTGTTGCCGGCGGGTACGTGAAATATGAGTTTGACACAGAGGGATTGACAATATGGGCTCGGCATGCACCGTGTGGTGTCAGCAGCATTTATTTATTTATACAAAGTCCCTGGACGGGAATTCCCCGCATCCTTGGAGTGGTCACGCCAAGCGCCACCAGGTGGTGTCCGTCCCGGCATCTAAATAAAGATGCTGTCGGCTCCCAATACCCGGTTTCAGGGTCTTATCCGGGGACCTGCCATGCTACGGGTTGAAGTCTGGTACCGTATGCGGCAGGCAAGTTCCAGGTAATAATAGCATTGTAAGTTGTTGTTTCACCATGTCAACTTGGCGTTTTGCTCTGATCACAAAGTTAATAACTTATTGACAACAATAGAGATAATATGGTGAACAGACAGGCAACGAACTGAAGACCGCAGTCGAGCGTTCTTGAACCTTAAACAAAGGGCTACCTACCTACTAAGAGGCAGAGGCGATTTAAGGGTCAAAATCGGCAATATGGGGAAGGAGAATGAGTTGTGCTTGTGAGTTCGCACATCACCGCAAAAGGTGTCACGAGCAAGAAGAGCGGTCTAAGTACATGGGTGATGCATCACATGGTCACAAGACTTGATCAATATGAGGGTATTCAGAATTGGAAGAAAAGGTTTAGTACAGTATCAATTATCCATCAGCAAGATTCCCAGATGGTGAGGTGAAGTCGATAGGTACCTCCCTCCTACCCAGATATTATCTATAGTGCAAAGGAAAACGGGACTGTAACTCACTTACCTCAGGTACTACGACCACCAGTCAGAGTCTGAGAACTCGAAGCCGGAAGAGCCAGAAGAATCGGAGTCTAAAGCATCGGAGCCAGAGTCAGTGTCCTCACGTTCAACACGAGGCACTTCATTCCTAAAGTAACGAGACATAGCCACTCTGGCCAAGTCCATGTACTCATCATCCATGGTCTCGAAAATTGCATCAGGACCCGTTGAGAAGTTAACCTGGACCTCGTCGTCCCTGTTCCTCCCGTTTTGGCGCTCACGCCATTCTTGGAAAATGTCCTCCTCGTTCACAGACCGGAAATTAGGGTGGTTCCACCCGCGCTCGCTGGCGAATTTCATGAGCTTCTCCCGCAAGTTGGTAGACCAGTTATCCCGATCCGTTGACTGCCAGAAAGGCATGGCCTGCATGCCCCGCTGGAAATCAGGGTAGTGAATGGTGGCCCTGACATAGGCCTGGGCGCTCCTTACCGGGTCGAGGCCCCAATCCGTGGCATCTTCAAGAGGGCAAATAAAAGGCCCATCTGACATGTCACTTCCTGTTCGTATATCTGGAAAAACAATGTCCAAGTTAACAGAACAAGCAACCGAGCCCTTTGATTCATAGTTAGTCAAGTACCAGGACAAAGGATTCTGACAATGTATTGTCCCCCTCGAGTAAAGGGGACCAGATCCGGCACAGGAACAAAGCAGTGTATCTTGCAGACAATGCCCCTGTTGAGATATCACTACGTACCTAGTCTCCTAACCCCAGCAAAAAAAATCGTCCTCAGCCAAGGAAAGGAGGCAAAAAGGGGGGTGGAACAGAGACCAGTGAAACAAGTTTGGAGACTGATATAACAACCGCCAAGCGATATCTGAATGGCGTCTTCCCCTTGACACCTTCCGTAAACGTGTGCCGTGAGAGATACCAGAAACGAAAGCTTCAAGAAAACAATGAAAGGTATAGGTAAATGGTAAAGCGTGTTGCTGTGAATTCGTACACGGGTATAGAAAGCCAAATAGTCCTCCAGACCAAAGCAGGAAATTGCAAAAGAAAAGCAGAACGGGTCAGAAGGAAGACCAATCAGCCACTGGTGAGACGAAAAGTGGAAAGCCGGGCCTTGGGTGTGGCCCTGTCTTGCTTCAACTGGGCCAGGTAAAGTTGTCATCGTACCATCCACCATAGTTGATGGAATCATGCTCGTCGTAGGACACCGGTGTATTGTTGTGGTCCTCGGAGAAGCCATAGTGAAGAGCCGCTGTCTCATCCCGTGCTACGAAGTTTGTGTTTATTCCTTCGGTAGGAGAGGGTCCTGTGAAAGTGACTTCGCTGTTTATGAGTGTATTGTGAAACGAAGCGGGGTTCCACAAGAACTCTGGAGCCTGACCGAACGGCAGGGCTGGATCTTCTAGGCTGTCGTTGGAAGGTCTTTCGGCGGGCTGATAAAATTCCAACTGTTGACCATATGGAAATGACTGGGCGGTTGAAGCCTGGACGACATCGTGTCCTGATTCCAGGCCCATGGAAAGTGGCGGGAAGTGATAATCACCATCAAGCCGAGAATGATCCGCGTCCTCCAGCCCTAAAAGCGAATGTCAGTAACAGCCTCTTAAGCCCGTCAAAGCTTCATTGTGAAATACTCACAAGCGTAAACTTGATGTGTCGGAGACGCCGTACCCGCAAGAGACTGGGATGAAGATACGGGCACATCCCATGATATATCTGGATATTCACGACGTGGCACTTGGAGCGGGTCTGTGTTTGGTGAGCCCACGAAGCAGTCGAGAGATGTCACGTCCGCATCGCTTATCACTGGGCTCAGATGTGGAGCGTTGCCATGTGTTGGGGTGGTGATTTCAGTACGATCTTCAGGCTCCGGGGTCGAAAAGGTAATGCCTCTGAGAGCAGCTAATTGTGCTCTGGTCAGACGATGTGAAAGCAATGGTGTGAGAGAGGAGCGCGCTGTACCTTGCACATCACCACCAAAGTCTTCATCATCCAATACCACACCATGACGAGTTGCAAAACGTCGAAGCTTTGAGTCCAAGACCGGCTTGCCGCGCAAATAGAACTGTATTCTTTTGCCCTGTCTGCGCCGATGTTCCTTGATCCGTAGCATCGTCAACATCTCGTCTCCGTTGATGTTTTTGAACAATCCCCAGGCCTTGATTCGCTTTTTGTACATTTTCTTGCTAAGCTGTATCAGAATTCGAACAATCTGGTGGCTACAAGTCTGATATGTAGCGAGAGAAGGGGCATAGTTACGTGGCTTCCACACCATAATCTTCCCTCATGATATTTATGACCTCGGGGAGCGACATGTCCTGAACCATATACAGGTCCTCGAAGATCTTCCGATGGGCCTCCCAATCAATCGGATGACCAGAGGGAGGCATCTTGCCTAAGTGACTGGCAGTATCAATGATGTGGCAGCAAAAGGTATTCGAACAAGAAAGGCATGGCGAGGTAGATGGTGAGATGCCATGGCGACGTGGGAGCGTGAAGACGTTTATATAACGGCCATCGACGGGTCTGCTAACCGGATGCCAACTCGCGCAAATCAGTGTCCCGTCCAATGTTGCTGTCCGGAAAGCCGCGAGAGCTCACACCAGCTGGAGGGAGACTTCCAGGCAAAGCCCGAAAAACGTGATATATCATGGGCTGAGTCTCGTGCGAAGTCCACCGCAGCAAGCCAATCGGGGAAGACGGGATCGAGAAGATGTGCGTGAGATGGAATACTGAAATGCCCCGTTCAGGCATGGCCGCAGACAACGACAGCAAAAGGAGTAGGAGCCGAAAGTCACAGGGTATGTATTTGGTGCAAGTGACGGATGGCTTTGGTCCCTTTGATGTGTAACCAAGGCCATGGGGCGGACGCCGGGGAAGTAGACATCAAGATCCGGACCCGACGAACGCTTCACCGCCACGATTAGAGATTCGACCCCAGATTGAGGGTTGAACAAGACATGTCTGGCGTGTTACACGAATGCGGGGAGGGGAATGGCAACTTCCCCGGCCTCGTAAAGGGGGGTGAGACAGTCCCGGTGAGCGCCACGGCGTGGTTCCGCCATCTTGTAACGACGGGAACAGACGTTACGTTAGGTATAGAGAACAATAGGCTGTTCCCTTATCCGACATGTCATATCTCGTATGCCAAGGACTCCCAGCTTTGGGACGGATCGAGAGGTCCAAGGCGAGATCAGCGCTATCTCGAAGCCATGTTCCCTCGACCAGAGAGCCGGTACAAGCATCCCTGCTGTGTGTCCCGGTAACCTGGGGTGCCCGGGGCGGTAGAATCGTGGTAATAGAGGAGGGGCTCCTGCGGGACACAGCCAGAGGGGATCGAGTCCGGTTGGCTGTAGCGTCCCTGGCCACCCTACGGCAAACAACAGAACATTTCGGATGCGGGCCGCCATCTTCCTGGATACAATCGGGATGACGCACTCTGACAGCTCAGCCTGTTGTCTCTCTCCTCGGACTTCCCAAAAGAAAGCTGATAGATTGGGCATGCGTAAGCACAAAGGTTCCTTCTTGTACAGGCAGAGAGCAAGGTTGACGGGAGTCATTATGGTGGACAGCGACCAGGCTGATGCAGCCTCTCGTGAATCTGGACTAGTAGTGGATGTGATCAGCAGTACAAAAGGGACCCCGGGTGCCCGGGACAACTCATCAGCCGGGCTAGACAGATACCCACGCATCGGGCTTCATAGGTATGTTGAGCGAGAAGGAAATGAGATACAGCCACTGGACAGTTCTCAAGAGCCGCCGACCACCAGGCTGGGCTCCGACGGTCAACCTGAAAATTCGAGACATCTGGACAGGTCAGCGTGCATTGAGTCGAGTCGGAAGCCGTTCCGGAATGTGTGGTGGGTGAATTGGTGCACCATGAGGTTGTGATGCCCGAGAGGCTGTTGGTGACAACAGCAAGGCGAGATATGTTTGCCGGGCAACTTGAGGTGTCCACGAGGTACTATTTCGCGCAGATAGGTACCGGTCGTTGGTTCAATCAGATGAGAAGGCGGTATCAGTGACATTGCATATGCCATATCTTCCCTCTAGAAGGTGGAAGACGGGAGATGGAAGATGGAAGTCTAGATGATGGAGGTGTCGTTCAGGGCCGTGGTGGGGCAGAATGTCAGTAAGTCATTGCCCCACCATGACCTAGCGCCCAAACCAAATGGAGAGCAGCGAGGGCGCGCCGTTGAAGTTCGATGGCGACCGCGCCCGTCTCCCACGGCCTTTCACCTTTAGCTTCAACTGCCGATCACAGTCGCTCTCCAACCGTTGCAGCGCTCCCTTGCCGATTGTCGCAACACCATCCTGTCTGTTCTATCTCCCAGGCAGCAGCAAGTAACAGCAGCACAAGGCTCCCCAGGTACTCTGCGTCTGCAGCGCAACCACCACACCATCTCACCGACCGTCTGCGCAACCTCAACCCTAGAAGCGTGCGCCGTTACAAGTCCGCGGCCACGACTTGCCCAATATTTCCTTCCGTGCGCCTACCAACACCTCCTCCTCTGCCGTCATACTTCCCAACCTCCCCTCCATCCAGCCGGAACTGCACCTCCCTCTGCCCCGGAAAGACAGAAAAAAAGGATGCCCCCGAAAATCACGGCCAAAAACCTGCAGTACAACACCACCCTCCCCCCGTTCCTCGCCCGTCTCCGAGGCGAGGCAACTTCCTCCTCCGAGTTTGATGGTGGTGGTCCAGACCCCATCCTCGCGGCCCGAAGGCGACCAACCAAGAAACGGTCCGGCAGCGCCGAGGCAGAAGACGCCCCTACGATAGTGGATGAGCACGGCAACACAGTGCAGGATGTCACTGTTGGGGTAGACGGCAGCGTAAAGGCGACTGCGTCCGCGCCGGCAGAAGAAGAGAAGGGTGGCCATGACGATAGCAAACCAGCTGCGGAGAACCAGGCACAAGCAAAGGCGGCTAGCATTGGCGCTGCTGGGAAGAAGAGAAGAGTAGGAAAGGTCGTTGGCGCGGATGCCGACGAGGAGGATCAGAAGAAGGACGCTGCTCCCACAGCCAACACCAAAGCCGAGGACAAGGAGGGTACAGCATCGGCGCCAAAAACCAAGCCCAAGAGGAAGGCAAAGAAGATTAAACTTAGTTTCGGTGACGATGAGGGCTGAAGCAGGCCAGAATTGTAGAGAAAGATCACATAGCCCTCTCTGACCGAGGGTTAGGTCTGGCAGCGCGGATGTATCGTACCGCATACTGTGTAGCATGCACGTCTAAAAGGCACCGGAGGACCTAAGGGAATCGACAGTTCTGGAAGAGCACGGGAGAACACTGCTCACCGGCGCATCGGGGTCTCCAGGATAGGAACCTCCAACCCAGCATCGGCGCGGTTTGCCTGGACCGTATAACTTGCCACCATTTTGCACCACACGCTTGGGCCGACTGGCCATCGCAGGAGCAGCATCATCACAAGGCAGACCCAATGTTGCAGACATAGAAAGGAATCTATACAACCCGTCTGCCTGTGACGGATATACTACACGCCCTCCTGAACCTCCCAGTCACTCCTGATTCGCCTTGGGCATATGTGTATTATGCATTTCGTCATGTGTGATCCTGGAAAGTCCGAGGCTCCCTCCTCTATTCTTATCTATCAACAATAGCTCCCCCGGGCCAAACGGGCCTTCGTTCCACGGCGTGTCTATCGACGTCATCGATTACCAGTACTCGGGCTTGACGTAGTCGGCCATGGTCTTGGGCTCCTTCCAGCCGTGGCCGTGACCGTGATCGTGGTGGTGATCCTCCTGGGGACCGACGTACTCCATCTTGTAGACGCTGCCGCACTCGGGGCACCGCTCAACGGGGCGCTCACGGGTCATCTGTGTGATATCCATATCAGTCTTGTTGCTCTTTCTAACCCCCTGACTGCAGCTGAAAGGGGGGGACCTACACCGAGCCAGATGACGTTGTGGGAGTCAGCGGGGACACCAGTGCAACCGGCGAACTGCTCCTCGCCGGCGGAGCGGACGAGAACGGGGTTGGAGAGTGTGCCGAGGCGCGAGGCATCAAGAGGGCGCATGTCGAAGACGTCAACGCTCTCCATCTTGCCGAGAATTTCGAGACGCTCGAGACCAGTCGACTGCTCGACATCGGTAGGGACGGTGCCGGCGGGGGCACCGGGGCCGAAAAGGTCGTCAACGGTCTTGACCTCTGTGTGTGTCGCGATTCTGTGTCAGCCTTGCTGTTTTCCTCCAGCCATTTATTCCATTTTCCCCGCTACCACCCAGAGATGTCATGGCTCCTTTTCCCCCTCCACCCATGCCCATGTGAAGCTCTCTTTGCGAGTTCAAAGTTCAACTGGGTTGCCTCAAGAATTCAATAATTCCTGACGTCAGGGGTTTCCTATGATCCCCAATGACGCAAAGTGTGTCCCTCCTCCTCCTCTTTTTGGCCGTCATGTGTTATGGGGAGAGGGGTTGACCTACCCTTGATGCCCTTGATCTTGGTATCAGGAACGGCGTCACCTGCAGTAAAAATCCCGAATCAGCCCCCATCCATTATTCCATTATTCGTGCCTGTGTGTAGTCGTCGTCGGTCTCGCAGATGTCGTTGAATCCAGTATAACAGCATGGTGGCGTCTTTAGCAGCTTATCCTCCCATTCAATGCGCGAGATTTCCACCAAAAGCTCGGCCCGGTTTTTTTCGGTATTTCGGATCGGTAGAGAGAGGGACTGAACAAAAAACTTACGGCGCACGGCGGAGGTGGCCAGGGAACGGCGGACAGCCGGGGCGACGGCAACCCGGCGGGCGATCGCGAGGGCGGAGCGCTGCAGGAGCATGGTGTCGGTTTTCGGGGGGTTGGTGATGTGTGGTTGAGGGTGAAGGTTGTGTGGTTCTTGGGTGTGGCTCAATTGAAGAGAGGAGTTGTGTTTGGAGATGGTCTGATTTGCTGAGCTAGCCACAGCTGGCTTCCGCGGCTCCAGCCAAGCCAAGGATTGGAGCAGTTGCAACTGCAAAAGCCAGAGCTTGTTGGCTGGATTTGGGTTAGCGCAGTCAGGTGAAGCGTCACGTGCCAATGACGTTGACGAGCCATGACATAACCGACGACGACGACGACGACGAGGACCGCGAAATTTGAGATCAGTGTGCAGATTTCTAATTCATCAATGGGTTGGGCAGCTCTAACATCCCAGGTTGACTTCGATTCACTCTTTGTTTGTAGTTAGGAAGCTTGTTGCGCCATCAAGCACAGGAAGAGAAGCTCCAGGGTTGTAGCTTCGAACCGTTATCACCCTAACCCTGTTCAAAGCAGGGCAAAACAAACCTATGAATAACCATTCAAGATTTAAACCATCTAAGGAATTCTACGTCATGATTTCTTAGTATCACAGCTTTGCCTCCTGCCCAGAAACCTCCTTCTCCTTCAACAGCTTTCCGCCAAACCCCTGGATCAGTCCGTCCTGATACTCCGTCGCAACGTGCACACCACTCGGGCTCCAAATCTTACTTTCAACGATCCCTCTTCCCCTCCCCGCCCTCGGAAACCAAACCTCTTGAATCCACCACCCGTCCTCCTCCCTCATCACCGCAGCCTTGGCCTCCACGTGCATCACAAAATGATAACTCAGACTAGCAGCCCTTCCCAGACTATATCCCAGCCCGATGTGATTCCCAGCCATCAGCAGCCCATTCCTATCCGCCACAAAAGCGTGCACCAACACATGAGCATTGGCATCATACCCGCTCTTCGCATCCTTATCGTCCGGTAGCGGCTTCAACAACCGGTACAAAAGCAGCTCCCGTCTCTCATGAACCGGCTTCCCCTCGTTATACTCCTTCATATCCACTTTCTTCATCTCCGCAATCGGGAACGTCCCGACCTGGTCGTCTCCGACAATCTCCACCACGCCGGTGATGTCCACCGGCGGGGCGGGCGGCCACTCTTCTGGCTTGCGGGATGACAAGATGGAAGCGAAGCGCTCCTGGGGCGGCGCCTCCTGCTCAGAGACTGTGCCATCCCAGTCTGGCTCTGGGAGCTTGAATGACAGCAACGCGGTAAAGGCTGGCGGGTACTGCGGCAGCGAGGCGTCTTCGGCAGGGTAGTGATCTTCAGAGGGTGAGTTGCTGGGAACAGATGGCTGAGTGGCAGTCACGGAAACGGTGCTGAAGGTGCGGGACGCGGTAACGGGAGAGGCCGTGTAAATGAAGGGTCTGCTGGCAAGGCCGATGCGGGTAAAGTAACCGTTTATTGTCTTTACCTCATGTTAGTGAGTCCCTAGAACATAGTATTTGGGGAGAGCATACGTGGATATCCAACCTCGCATGTTCTGGAACCCCCTTCTCCTCTTCGGTTTCTCTCCACGCTCTATAGGCGGCCAGGCCTGCCTGAGCGTACACATGGCCACCAAACGCCGCAGTGTGGAAACTGGGCAGCTCTTTTCCCTTTGCAAAGTCTGAACCTGGGAGATATGCTGATCGAGTCGAGATGTATCGGTGGGCTTGGCCTTCACGAGGCAACTTGACGAGCTCCAATTGTTCCTGAAAAGACAGCCGCTTGTCCTCGTCGCCGCCAACCGTGGGAGTCATGCTTACACTCATTGATTACAGCTAAATGGTGTATAAATGGTGTATAAGATAACGCAAGTGTGAAGACGGTCAAGTTAAGAGAATTGTTCAGCCACAGTATCACAAAACCCTGTGTTTGCAGATCGGCAGTGTCTGTATGTATGTCGTCGTTCTGGTATTGAAAAGTGCAAGCTGTTAATCCTCTCAACAAACGGGATGCATGATCACAATTTCAAGCATGGCATAGGCCCGGATTCAGTTATCCCAAACCCAGCCGAGAGCCTTCCTGCCAGAGCCGTCCGTTGAGTGAGGCGCTCAGCTCAACGGGAATGTCGTCCCCCAGGGCGGGGCGATCCACTTCGGCTTTGGGGTTCCTAGAACTGGAAACCCAGCCGAGGCATACCCTTCCACGTGATGATCTTGGTGTTCCCTCCGGTGCTTTGTGGTCCTGTTGCACCATCATCAGAACCATGATGAATGCGATGAACTTGAGCCTGGCACAAAGTCCGCCGTGAGACAGCTTCATTCAAACGTCAGCGCTCGGGTTGAATCCGAGATTCAGCAATTCGACGTCCGTCATCTGGGCAACTACCAGGTACGACCGGGGTGACCACCGAGGTGACAGATCGCATCCGGTTCGGACTTGAGACCCGATCGATGCATCCTCCTCTTCGGAGCCTTCCGGACCATACATAGAAGATCCCCATTTGGACAAAAAAGAGAGAAGATGCTGACGACGGCGATGGCGCAAAAGGTGGTGTGTGATGGTGATGCGTTGTGATGACAAGTCTAGTTTGGTTGGGGAACTCGCTTGTTCCCCCACAAATAAGTGCAATGAGGGGTTGTCTACTTTAGGCTTAGTGCCCACAATCTGGGGAACCTTTCAAGTGATGGGTGGGGGTGAAGTGTGGAGTGACCCCCCACGGTTCCAACTCTTCCACTTCCAGACGACCTTTGGGGGTCAAAACATCTGATATTTGACCCTCAATTCAATTTTGCGCGCGTCTTGTCGAATGATACAAACTGCAACGGCCATTATATCCCACTTGGATCCCGCCTCCAATACCTTCTATTGATCAACGACTCCGCAGCGCCAACTCGCTTTGAGCGACCTCCCTGACCAGAAACCTCGAATTCTGACCCTCATCGAACCACACGAGGAGCACCAAGACAGCCATGGCCAAAGCAAGTGTCGAATCGCTGGGTCGGGAGGAAATAAGATGGGATGTGTCCATCTCCTGGCGTTGAACGCACTCCAGAAAGCGCCACACCGGAGCTCGGTTCCAAACCAACCTGTGTCAAGTCAAGGTCCTTCAAAGCCTCTTCTTGACCCCCATCCAAGAACCGTCCCATTTCCTTCTCGAAAGGTTTTCCTTTCTAGGAAAAGAATCCCCCCAAATGATCTCCCAACGGCGGGGATGTGCGCCTACATACGCAGGACAGCAGGTGTGCCACCCTGGGTTTGGCCAGATCCAATCCTGTGGGAGAGCCGTCCCCCTCTACCAAAGTTGCGGGCTGCAGTATGGACGAAATGGACCAGAAAAGGCCATGGTTTGGTCGGTGGTGGAAATAAGTGAGGGGGTCTGGATTCAGGTCGACGTCAAGTTGCTACAGTCTCAGGTGTGGCGGACTGGTCTACCTTGCCTTGTCGTCGAGTTCTTTTGGTTGGAGTTGGTGACTGGAGTTGTGGAAGAACCGCTTTTTTACCTGGTTGTAACTGGGGCTGCAGGGACACGGCGACGCCGCCATTTGCGTTGTAGACTGAGGTCCAACGGGGTCGGGGTCGTTCTAGAAAGCGGGCGCGAGGGGACTGAGGCTTCTACCTGTGAAGCTTTACATACGCAGTAACGAACCAGCTTCCTATACAGGAAGGCGTGAAAATTGTACATGAATACGGGGCCCTGCTACCCTTACTAACACACAATAGTAGCCCTTGGCACTCGTTGACTTTGACGATGGCATGATATTGGAGAAAGAAACATTGACGATTACTGACACTAGTAAGCAGGCAAGGTCAGTAGAAAGTGGCGCGAGATGATGAACCCTCAACGAAACTCGCACGAGAAAAGCACGGCCATGATGGTCATACCTAATGAGGCAAGCAAACTGTGAGGCTCAACATTGATGAGGATGGATGACAACAGGCAGCGGGTGCAATCGGGCAGCTTCGGTTTTCCAAGATGGGGCGGAATTCACTGCGTGGTGGTAATCATCAAAATTACGATGAAACCTTTCGAGCGCCAAGAACGAGAGGGAACGCTCATCGAACCCCTCCCCAGTCCTTCTTTTCTTGCGCGTGAGCTTCCCTGCTGTTTGGCCTGGTCCAACCCCTGAGCCTGTCACTGTCCACAAGTTGCACTTCCTACCCCAGATTGGCACCATGGTGCCCGCAGTGGAGAGAAGACTATAAATTTAGGTATGTACACTAAAACAACACGCCACGACGGATATCTTCTGGTGTCCTCCTCCTTGTCATCTCCAGAGGGAAATGATGATGATGATAATGATGATGATGATGAGGTGTTTGATGAGTTTCAGGTCTGAGGAAAACTACGGAGTAAGGGGAAAAGGGGTGGAAAAAGAAAGAAAGAGAGAAAAACGAACTGCCAGCCAGCAAAGGAGGGGTTTGCCTGCCTCTCCCAACCGCTGTTGCATTCCCTCGTCTCTGGCTGCTTGTGCCGGCGGCATTTTTGGGAGAAGTTTGGATGTGACGCGTGACCTTCGAAAAAATGAGCTGAAGGGAAAGCCAATGGCCGACTGTGATATCGACAGGGTGCATCATGGGCCCGCCAGTCGCCAGCCATGGACGGTTTAGGCCGAATTCCGGGGAAAAGATCTGGCCGTGCAGCAAAAGAGGGGCTGGTCCAACAGACAGGGATTTCAGGGAACAGCAGAACTCAGCAGACCGACCTGAATTATATTCGGTGCACCAGAGCTTCTTTTTTATTACGCCATTAAAACTCCGTGACTGGTCACAGACAACACCTCTCCGCAGCACACACTACATAGAGCCAACCTGTCACCGAGAGATTGTCTCTCATTGTCTTGAATCTGTCACTCTCGGCAGACATCTGGAATCCAGGACGAGACCTTCACCATCTATCCGGCCGGGCTTCCACTCCATGTCCGCTACCTACCTGGCCTGGCCTGACCTGACCTGATACTCCATACACTCCCCATCTAGGTCATCAAAAAAGAGAAGACCCCTCCGCCACAGACGAGACAACTGACCACTCAGCGCCAGCTTCCCGGCACTACTGCGTAACCCCAGAAAAGTTCCCCCCTCGTCTCCCCAGAATTTCGGCCATGGACCCCATGTCGTGTTACCGTGCCTCTGGCTAAGGCTTCCCTAGCGTCGTCTTCCCAGGCTTTTATTAAACCCTACCGAATTCCCACACACACCACTCACACCTCCAGAAGCGCCCTGGAACCAGATCTCCGTGTTCTCCACCCAACACCGCCTGACTGGATGCCGTCAAATAAATAGACACACAGCTCCTTGCCGCACCCATCCCGCTCCTCCCTCCTCCCTCTCTGCCCTCCCCTCCCCCTGTTCTCCCGCATCCCGCCAGTCTGGTATTCCCGCGGAGACTGCCGAACCACGAAACCTGGGGGAGGTTCACACATCAGCCACCAAACGATCATGCGTTGCTAACACAACGCCCAGCATAGGAGGGTTAACCGATTGGGAACTATCATCCGTTGCGTTGCGATGGGGGTTCAGCTCGAGCCCATCAGTCAGAGTTCGTTTGAACAGTACGGACCATGGCACTTTCGAGATTCTCGTTTTCAGCAGAATGAACGTGTCGACCTGGGTGCCGCCCTCTTGCGAGCAGCCGCCCTACCGGCCTTGAACGACCTATGCGAGCTTTCAGCGAGGACCAGCAAAGCAGATGGTCGGTTTCTGGAACTGACCGAGAAGCCCACATCGTCCAGGTCATCCAGCATTCATGTTCTCCAGGAACCCTCTCCACCCGCCACTATTACTTCCCCCCCAACTCCCGTCACCGTCAACAAGGCTGAGGATGATGTGGATATCCCGTCATTACCAGGATCCCGTCATTCCCTGGACCAGTTTGGTTATCACGCGGAGGAGGGGGTCAAGTTCACCTTTGCGCCCAACAGCTTACCAATTCGTCCCCGGCCGAGTCTGAAGCGTCGACGACCAGACTCGGATGTGGACGGTTACAACACAGCCACCATGAGTTGCAAAAAGCGGCGACTATTGCGACAGTTTGTCACCTCACGGCTTTCAGCGCCTTTCTCCCTCCCGGCCACGCACATTCTCAACCGAGAAGTCGTCGCTTCGGGTGACAAACGCTTTCTCAAACTTGCCGCCATCATGGCAACCAGAAAGCTTCAACCACAGCCACTACCGCCACAGGTCAGCCCGGATTCCTTCTTGCGGCGGCAAGCCATCTTCAACCGGTGTCGGTTACGAATGGCAACCGAGGGCATGTCTCGAGGCGGTCGAGGGAGCCACGGGCCAGAGACGCAAGCTACACATCCCGCTTCACAGCAGCAGCAGCAGCCAGGTGTAGAAGGGGCTAGTTTCGCCTTGATGAGGGCCATGCACCCATCATCGACTGGGGCAACTACGCCGGTGATTTCCATCTCCCCGCATCCGTCCTCCTGCACCCCAAAACCGGCGATAACACCATCATCGCCACCGAGCAGGTCACCACCACTCGGGCCAACAGCCAGCGGAGCATCGCCAACAAGACTGCGAATTCCCAGTCCGAGGTTACGGCCCCTCCGCTCACCAGAACTGAGAGTCACCCGGCCGGCTCTGCCGTTGGATGACATTGAGGACCTCGACGACGACAGCGTGGCGTTTCCCACATCGGTGCATGAGAGCCGGTATGGTGACGAGCCTGACGAGGTCTATGCCGATTTCGGGCTGATCTTTGGAGGCGGGGGTGAGGGCGACGAGTCTGATGAAGAAGGTCCTGCCGAGCAGTTTGAGGATTACATGGACGACTTGGACGGGATTCCGTGGAACGCTAGGTGCTAACACACGGCATATTGCCGAAACTGGGCATTAAATTAATTGCATTTCATACCTACAGACGGCACTGGCAGCCACGACACCAAAGACTCTGGACAGAACAGGACAGGCGAGTCCGGGTGGGTGGAATTAGTGGGGTTGGCTGGTCAGGTTGGGGTGGCATATTTGTCGCAGCATCCTGTCTTTTTTTTTGGTTGGTTGGGATGAATGGTTGGGCGGCACAATTGCTTTTTGTTTTTATATATCGCTGTTTGAAAGACGCATTTGCCGGTTCGCGAAAACTATGCATCATGTTTCGCTGTTGTTGTTGTTGTTGGAGAGGGGTTAAGAAAAGGCAAATATACCTATCGATACAAACAGACAGAACTTTGACCGGCTGGCAGCCTCGCACGGCGCCGGCCGAGAGCGGAATCGGAGGAAGTGGACCCAATTGGGTTGCTGAGCTGAGCTGTTCTTTCGATGATGCTGCGTGGTGTATCTTCGAGTCTCTGTTTAAACATAGGTAAAGACAGACCATATCAGGAGAGGCCGGAGGTCTTTAAAAGCAGACAAAACTTTACGGTGAAGCCAGGGGACTCCGGTCGGAGCTGCCAGATCTCATCAACCGAGAGGAGGACCCAGCCGATCAGCCACCGCTCCGGTCCGCTGGTTCGTCATCCGAGCTCCGACGTCACTTGTACTTCTCGGCGAGCTGCGGGCGGGGCTGACACCCGACCCATACACCCCCCCGCGCATTCTCCACAACCGCACCTTGGATCATATCAAACCTCTTGTGTAAATCTGCAGGTAGATAAAGACAACACGCTACGCTTTTGTGTCAGGTTTCATCCCGTTGTTCAAACTCATAATTCATCACTCTCTCGCTCACAACATTTCATCCCTCTCTCTCACCGTGCGTTCACCAACTACCTACTCAAAACCATGTCCCCCCTCAACCCCACCGCAACCCCCTTCCTACCCGCCATCTCCTCCCTCCCCACCCTCCCAGACACAACCCTCACCTCCACCCTCGACCTCCTCTTCGAACCAACTTCCGAACTCCATTCCCTCGCCCTCCCCACCATCCGCACCTGCTCCTTCGCCTCCTACGACGAGCTAATCGACACCCTCCGAGGCCAGCTGCTCACCATCGCCTCCCAAGTCCAGGACAACTCCGAGGGGAAAAAGAAGCTGCATCACGTCCTGGGCAGCCACCCCAGATTGGGCGCGCCAAAGGTGAAGCAAGAGGACGAGGAGTTGAGCGAGCAGAGCAAGAATGAGCAAAAGCAACTCAGGGGAGGGGATGAAAACGAGGCGAGGAGGTTGGCCGAGCTGAACGAGGAGTACGAAAAGGCTTTTCCGGGGTTGAGGTATGTCGTTTTTGTGAACGGGCGGGGGAGGGGGGTGATTATGGAGGATATGGAGCGGAGGATCAAGAGGGGGGATATTAGGGAGGAGGAGAAGGAGGGGATACAGGTGAGTTTTTCGGTGTGAGGGTTGATGTGAGTGAGTGATGCGTGCGCTAACTAGGGGTAAATAGGCAATGTGTGATATTGCAAAGGATAGGGTGAGGAAGTTGTTGAAGTCTGCCGAGGAGGCTGTTTAGGCCACTGTCATGAGTATCGGGCTGGAAGTATCCTATGAAGCGGGTTACGTGTTGTGGCAAGTAATCAAGGGACAAACTTGAAAAAAATAAAAATAACGTCAACTGTATTCGAGCCAAATTGCCCGTTCAAACAAGGTATCATCTAGAGGAAATAGGTTGCAAGGCATAATCCAAACACCAAGCTGCCTTCAGGCATCAACCTGGTATCATCATCAAACATATAACCCATAAACCGACACCCAAAACCCAATTCAAGCCAAGTAAATGGTATCACGCAACCAAAGAAAAAACAAAAACAAAAAAAAAACAATATAAAAAAAAGAAAGAAAAAAAAAGAAGAAAAAAAAAGGAATATGCCGAATCAAAATCCCTCGCCTAAAAACCGCGACTAGAGTCGTGCTAATGTGTTCCTCAACCAGGTTGTAGTCCTCTTCCGCTTGCTCCTGGTCCGATAGCTGCTCCCTCCAGCCATGGTGCAGCAATAGGAAACAGTGTACTCCCTCGCCATCTTCCTTCGAATCCGCCACCACTCCTTCTCCTCGTTTCTCTCGCTCATTGCGCGCGAGGGGGACTTGAGAAACGCCTTGGCGAACTCGATCCTCGGATGCTGGCTGCTCAACCAGTCCCTCGAAGGGGCAGCTTCGGCAGCTCTCGCAGCGACCCTGTACCTCTCCAGAGCAAAAGACGACCGGAGATTGATGCTCGAGTAAGGAGAGTAAAAGTCATGGACGGCATCTTCCAGCCTCCACTCCCGACGCTCACAATACCGTTCCCGATACCGAGCCTGATCCTCCTCGTCATCCCTCATATTCACCACCACCCACTCCTCCCCCATCGGCACCTGCTCAGGCGGCATACCATACTCCAGACTCCTCGCCCGCCGCCTCCGCCGCTTGTAAATAACCTGGTCGCCCCAATACACCCTCACCGCCTTGAGCCCCGCCCACGACTGCCTCAGCAGCCTCTCCACCGACCCCGCCATCTCCATCTTGCTCGGCACCGGCGCCGTCCCCGCCAGGCTAGGCGTGTCACCTCTCCCTAGATCAACCTCTAGCTCCTCCAGGTTGGGGCACCTCCTCACCAAGCCAGAGATGAACCTCATCCTCTTGGCCCCTTCCTCCTCCTCAATCGCTTGCTCGCACCCATCCCCTAGCTGGAGTTGGCCCAGACCACCCTCCAGCGGGAACGGAATCCCTAGCCTTCTCAAGTTGGAGCAGTTTCTCTCGCCGATCCGGTCGAGGAACCAGCGCAGTAGCAGGTTGGCTTGCGCCTGGTGTGGTAAGGAGGTGGCGTCCCCCGGTAGGACGAACGTGTTGTTGCTGTAAAAGAAGGTGGAGGCTTCGAGGTGGATTTGCTTGCTTGTAAGAAAGAGGGTCAAGAGGTCGCGGCGGAGGGATTTGCCAATGTAGTGTTGTTGGGAGGACGACGACGACGACGACGAAAAGCTGTCTTTTCGCTGCGAGGCAATGACGATTGTCTCGTGGGTGGGGAGGAGGTAGGAGTAGATCTGGTTGCGGATTTCACCGGGTGTGGTGAGGAGGTTTGTTTTGGGTCGGTTGCTGTGTTTTTCAGTCATGTTGTTGACTCTATGGTGGTTGGCTGTGCTGTTTGGGTGTGATTGAACAGCTGACACTCTCAAGGGTCAGGGGTTTGTTGACTTGAGGTGGCGACGAAGCTAGAGTAAACAAGAACGAGTGTGTGTGTGCAGCCAGCCAGCTGGGAGAGATGTTGAATCATAAGAACGGCAGAAAAGAGAGGCACAGGCAAGACCAGAGGAGGACCCCCCGCCAGTTATACCTCCTCCTCCAGCTCCGACAGCTTCCCCCTCGCTCGGGAACGGTACCTTGAGGGCGGGCAGCAGGCAGGCCAGCCAGAGCTCCAGAGGTCTGGGCGATGGATGCAACTCAGCGGCGCAGGCGGATCGCGGACCTGGACCCGAGCGCATCCATCGGTACCCACAGCGGCCCCCCCGCTGGACGCTGCGCTGGAACTCCGGTTGGCTTGATTGGTCCAGCCCTATCAAGCAACCCTCAGGGACCCCCGCCGCCTAGACTCGCTAGCTGATTCCCACAGCACCGTAAACGGAGGGTTGCATGTCTTCGCAGGGCCTCGCCCATTATCACGCGGTCCATCACGCTGGCCTTTCGATCTTCAAGACCTTGAGAGGATGCCCAAATACAACACCAATCTCGCCCGCTCAGGTCATGCTGCCCAAGTCGTCGACCGGGTTCACCCAGCAGCGCGGGACGTTGGACGTTGTGCCAGCTTAAAAGTTGGCAAGTGGAGGGTTAGGGTCGCCTAACCCTCGAACGTTCATGTCGCTTCCGTTCGACCAGAAAATGCGCCGTTGGTATTGGCGTCTCAATATGGTCCGAATCACGAGAAAGCGATTACATAGTGTACCTGGTAGACGTGGCGTCAGCTACGCTACAACCACGGGCCAAAGAGCCGGCCGGCGGTGTCAAAAGACCACTAAGCCGTCCAGACCAATAATTTCAGCCGCGCCAGGTCGGGACGCTTCTGGTGTGGAGAGCCGCACGGGTGCTGATCCGTCTTTATCCCATGGAGCCTTGCTTGAAAAATACCATCATGTAACAAGAACACCAAGCGGATAAACTGCCCGACACCAAGACCGTTCCTCCAACAAGTCAAAACTGTTAGCCTCTTCGTTCTTTCCCTTGGCGGCCAACGCAGTCTTAACAACATCGGAAACCGATAACCACCCTCCCAACCAGACAACGCTTCACGTGGAAGCACAGATTGGTCGGAGCAACGGTTGTGTCTTCATACAAACATGACATCACCAAATCCCCAAGACCCACCCCAATCTACGAGCACATTATCGCCGTCCAATAAACCAGAGACAACGCTCTACTGGTATGTCCAAACTAGTCTTGGGTATCATGCATTTCTCACGGGCACTACCGCAGCCCATTTCTCGCGCATCTGGTCCCAAAGCCGTTGTTGAACCCACGTGGCGTGGCGAGCTTGCTTGAGGCTATCGCGCTCACCACGTGATGAGATGTTTTGTTCCTGTTGATATCCCCTGACATCCCCTTGTCAACGATTCCTAATCAACCCTAACCCTCATCACCAACACAACTTAACGCCCCCCCCCCCAGGTAGGCTCAACGACTACCGAGCCCAGCGCGTCGTCTGGCTCCTCGAGGAGCTCGACCTAACCTATACCGTCAGACCATTCCACCACACCCCCAGCGGCCTCGCCCCCCGCGAGCTGGAAAAGGTCTACCCCCTAGGGACATCACCCATCCTGACAATCTCGTTACCTCACCGGGAACCTGTCGTCCTGGCAGAGAGCGGCTTCATCGTCGAGTATCTCTGCGATCACTTCCCCCCCAAAAGTGGAAGAAAAACATTGATCCCGAAGAGATGGGTTGAGGGGAGGGAAGGAAAGATAGGAGGGGAGATGGGGGGGGGATGAGGTACCAGCATCTGCTTCACTATGCAGAGGGGAGCTTCGCGCTGACGTTGGTGGTCGGGGTGATCTTGGCCGGTATGTTTTTCACCTACCAACCAACCAACCATTTTCTCTTTGAGATGCTGACGGGGAAAGCAAGACAGTCTTTGGCAGCAACAAAATCCCCTTCTTCCTCCGCCCCATCACCGGGTTCGTCGCCGACAAGATCTACAAGGCGTTTGTCGTGCCCCACTGCGGAGAAGCACCTCGCCTTTTTGGACGGAATGCTCGCCACTTCGCCTTCTGCTGCTGGCGATGAAGAAGGCGAGAGGTATCTCTGCGGGGGGATTCCTGACCGCGGTGGATATCCTGCTTAGCTTCAACTTGGCCACTGCCAGGGACGGGGTGGGCAAGGTGATGGTCTCTGCCGGCGATGGCAAGGCGGGCAAGATACCCCTGTGGGACACGAGTACCCGCGGGTGGGCGAGTATTTGGAGAGGCTGCATCGGGAAAGGGGGTATCTGAGAGCCGAGGAGAGTATTCGGGCTGTTGAGGGGCAGAAGGACAAACAGGTGTAATAGTTTGTGTGCCAAATCACTGTCGAGTTCGATGAAAACAACATCAGGAGCCTGTACCAGACACGTAGTATAGTCGCGAGCTTATCAGTCAAAAGCCGCAGACAAAAATCTCCGTTCAGACACTCTCAATTCTCACTCAACTTTTACTCCTATAGAACACCAGTATATATATACACCCAACAAAACACAACAGCATCCAAAATGACATGCCGCCTTCTATAAATCCAACCTCTCCTCTCATACAATACCATTGCTTGCTTGCTTGCTTGCTTGCTTGCTTGCTTGTGTGAGGTATACATACGAAACAGAGAAGTACCAAATCTTGACAAGCAATTATCACAAGCCGCCGATGAAATGCCGCTAAACTCCCGAGCGTGATGCTGCATAAAATGAAGCAAAAAAAATAAAAAGCCGTATATATACCGGCATGGTATCAAGTAAACACAAAGAAGGTGTAGCAAAATATTAAGTTGTGGTCAGCAGCCGCGCGTGGGGAGAAGAGTCAAAACAAAACATCATGTAAGCGCCCACTTTTCGCCGAACATGCGAGAGAAAATGGTGAGAAGACTCCGGTTGTTGTTTTTTCAAAGGAAGAGGAGACCGGCAATACCAATGATGACAGCAAAGGCGCTGGCGCCCAGCCTTTCGGCTCCGCGAACGCCATCGTTGCTGTTGTTGCCATTGCTGTCACCGTCAGTGGCAGCCTGACCGCAGTTTTGCAAAAAGCCATCGGAGCTGCAGCCAGGGTTGGCAGCAGCACCACCACCGGAGTTGGAGCCCGAGTCGGGACCGCCAGAGCTGGAGCCGCCATTGTTAACGCCGGGGGCGTTTCCGGACCCGACAACACCACCGCCAGGAATAGCGTGAATAGCGGAGGTCTGGGAGGCGCTGCCGGACTGAGTGGTTTCACCCTTGTTCATGTTTGTCCCCGTGCCGAGGAAGCTCTTGAGAATGGTAGGCTTGTTGCTGTCGACGACGGTGTCGTTGGTAGCCCTGATGTCATTGTAGTAGTAAGAGACACCCTTGTTGGTGCCCGGGGACTTGTCCGTCTTCCAGCACTCGACCTTGATCTCTCCGAAGGTGGCAAAGTAGTAGCCATACTTCTTGATCTCATCCGAGTTCCAGTCGATCTTTCCACCAGCCCAATCAATGGTGCCCTTGGCGTTGGTCTCGAGACCACCGGGCCAGATGGAGATCTGAACACGGGATGGCGTCTGGGGGAAATTCCACTGCTGAGTCTTGGCGTTCCAAGTCTCGGATCTCTTCTTGACACGGCCAACCTTTCCATCGACAAGCCACCGAATTTCGTCTGGGGTCCATTGGATCTCATAGTCGTGGAATTTGGTGTACGAATCATCCACAGTCAAGTTACCAGTATTGCCGTCTAAATAAGGGGGGGGTGGGGGGGGTATGGTTAGTCTCTACTGGGCAAAAGGTTTGGACTCCAGAGAGTATGTACTCACAATCTGTAATACCCTGGAAGTAGTAGTTGGTCTGAACCGTGTTCAGATCGACACCAACCCACTCAAAGTCAATTTCGTCCTTGACATCACCAAACAGGATGAAGGCGGTAACAACACCAGCGCCCCGAGAGCTCTTGATCCTGGCCTTGACATTGCCATACCACATGTAGGTCGTGGTGGCCAGCACAGTGCCGACCGACTTGGGAGGCATGGTCAACAGGGTATGGCCGTTGTACAAGAGGGGCTCTCCTTGGCCAACCCAGTCCACCTTGCTAGAGTCGCCAAGGTATTCGCTGATGTGCTTGTACCGGTCGAGCGAGTCCATCTTGTAGGTTTTGTCCTTGCATACTGGCGCAGGGACGCAGGAGTCGATGGAGAAGGACATGCGCGGGTCGCAGCCGCCGAGACAGAATGCGCCAACGCCGCATTGGTTGTATTCTGCGATGCAAGTTTCCGACGTCAGTGCCTTGTCACGCTTGGGCTGGATCTAGGCTGCGGCAGTGAAACCTTAGGAACCCTGACAGCGCCGTCCCCAACGCTGAACAAACAAAACGAACAGGCGGAGCGGGCCGCCAACCAGGAACCAAAAAAGCTTCAAACTAGGCGCACAGCTTGGGATGTTTTGACTTACGAGAGCAGCAGGGTGCTTCCTCGGGGCACTTCTTGTCCAGACTGCAGGAGGGAGGATCAACAGCCAAAACGCTGGTTGCGCCGAGAAGGGCCACGCCCAACGGCAACAAAGATCGGAGCATGGTTTGTAGTTCTTGTTTTGTTTTCGTTTTTGTTATTGTTCTCGAACAATTCGGGAGGTTCGGAAAGCGACGCGAGGGTCTCGGTCGCAAAGAGATGTGGTAGGATGTAGAGAGCAGATGTCGTCGAGGTAAGAGAAAAGGAGACCGAAAACGGTTCGGTTCCTCTTCGGTGGCCCGGTTTGTGTGAGCAAGTGGTGTGATGCTGGGATCAGTGGAATGCGCAACCCGGCAAAATGGAGTGCTAGCGAGACGATGGACCGTTCCCTCGGGAGAGTGAGCGAGTAATGTCTCGAATGGGGTGGTGGTGAAGCGATTGGCGGGTAGAGAGAGGAGGTAGACGGAGGATTCGACAGACTCGACGTTGGGTTCTTGACAGAACAGTTCGAATCGATCAGGGGAAACGCGTCTTTGGGGTGATCAATTAGGTAGGTAGGTAACTGGGTAGGTAGCGAACGTGAGGGATGGGTGGGAAGCGATTGGCTTGGGGTCTTCAGCCGAGCATGAAGAGAGCCCCAGTGGAAAGAGAACAAAACGAGGGATGCACTTCGGCGGTGGGTTTGAAAGGTTGAGGAAGACGGGAGGAGAGAGAGGAAATCGTAAGAGAGGGTCAGGTCAGGCTGGCAAAGCAGCAGGGGGCTATTTTAGTTCTCCTCTCTTCGCTTCCTGCTCCGCTGGCCCTCGTCTCTGTCTCTCTCTCGCTCTCCTGTCCAGGATCATGAGGGTGTGGGGACATTTTCTGGTTGCGGCACGGGGCCATTTGCAGGCTCTCGCCCACTCACAGACGCTGTTCTGGAGGAGGGCAATAAAAGCTGCGCTAGCATTACCCTGACCCACAAACCCCTTCTGAGACCTGCAGCCGATGGCTTCTCCTCACGAACTGCTGCTCGTGATGGTGGCGCCTACCGTTGACACTTTTCTTGTGTCCCGGATCCCCAGATGGCTTGTTCCTGTTGTGCTATCGAAGCTATTTTCTTCCAATGTTCTCCGACAGCCTCCTGCTAATCACCGATTGCTTCCACCAAGCGGATGAATGTAGCGCAAACCTTGGTCTTGAAAAGTTCCAAGAGGGGCAAGCAGGCAGCGCCAAGCAAGGCCTGGTCGCCTTTCCCCAGATTGCCGGGGCAGTTTTGGAGCTCCACCTCCTCGCTCTTGGCCTTCCTGCCCTTCCCAGAATGACGCCACAAACCACCACACCAAACAGCTTCGCATTTCACTCACACATTCTGTTTCTGTCCAGGTTCCGACCTCGCCGTTCTCAACATGTGTTTCTCGTATAGGTTGCCTATTCCTCCTGGATCTTGTTTCTTACTCACATCCATCCTCACCTACACCAATCTACAAATCAATGCGCCGTGTCACCACCACAAGCGAACATCTGCCGTGTTGCCCTCCCGGCACTGGTTATCCCCGTGAAACAACGAGGGACTGTGCATTTGATCTGTTTCATAGGCAAATCCCAAATCAGGCAGGAAGAAGATTCTGGCGCGCTCGTGAGGGTCATATGAGGGGAACAGTACGAAGCATTCTTGTCTTGTCGATCAGAGAAAAGGCCTGTCGATCGCCGTTGGCTGCGTCTGGTATAATCTGGCGTGCAGCTGTGGCAGCTGCAGCCGGCTGCACGACAAGTTTCGACGTCTGGTCGCACCAAGCTTTGTGTCCAAGGCCGGCCACGTTGGAGAAGACAGTCGGGCCGGGTGTGGACGGGAAGCCGAGAGGTCAACTAAATATCTGAATTTTTACATACATGGTTGATCATTGACACAGCAGTCTGGTCTGCCTAGTTCACATGGTCAAGATGAGATATGTGTTCTCCATCGGCTTGCGTGGGATGGGTGATGTACCCCGAGCATCTCCATCAGCAGCATCCCTTGATCGTCACAAGCTGAGAAGATCTCGACAAGGCATTTGCCAACCCTTTACTTGAATAGTTCGATCTGCTTAATAAGGTCATGGCGGAGCAAACCAAGATGCCTACCGCGAAGATAAACAGCCCGGGTTCTGTCAAAACCAAGACACATCCAACACACGAGTCGAACAAGGCGAGGCTGAAGAATCTGTATTCGTGTTCCCTCCATTCCCTCCTCCTTGCCGGAGGGAAAGAGAACGGGCCCATGTCGCCATCATTAGACACACACTCAACAATGCGAAAAGTCCCTGCCAGGCCCGATCCAGAGCAAATCCGTCGTTAAAAAAAAAACACGCTGCTGACGCGAGAAAAACATCCCTGGGGAATATAGCTGCAAGTTGAAGGGAATAAAGCATCGATGTGCCCAGTGGGCCCCCATTTCCTAACCAAACAGGAAAAAAAAGACTGAAACGCGTGTCGGAAAAGGCAGCGCCGATTAAAATGCCCAGGGCCAAAGTCGAATTTTGTGTGTTCCACGCCAGGCGCCTTTCCTGAAAATGTGCAGTATTCGGGAAAAGGACCACCGGTCTCACGTGTCAAAAGAGATATATATCCACAGAATAACAAACGCATGGCGCTGCTTTACGCAACAGACTCGCATAAAAAAAAGCCTCCACCAGGCCTGCAGAATCCCACCGGGTATCAAAGGCGGCTGGGTGCCTTGCTTCTTGTAGCGATTTGAGCGGTCGTATTAGGAAAAAGAAGCCGGCAAATGCATCATCTCTTTTGGTTCGCAAACAGCTCTGAGCAAACGGTTAGTCATCGGTTGTTTTTCATCCCATCTAAAAAAATTTCGCACCTGGGAAATGCTCCTTTGCGTATTGTTCACAGGCCTTGGCCGGCTTGCCAACCTTCTGCCCAATGACCTTCCATTTGTTGTTTTCGTACTCCTTGATGGCACTCATCAACGCCGCGGACTGTGTAGGAAGACATGTTAGTCCCTATTCGGCGTGTCCACAAAATTGTCTGACGGTCCACTCACCTCATCCTCTGCAAATTCAGCATAGTGCATATCCTTATACCAATGCTTCTTCACACTACCCTCTGTGCGAGCGGGAAAGGTCTAGATGCACACCAGGTTAGCCAGGCCCGCAAGTCACGACACTGTCATTGCAGCAACGCACCTTGGCAATTTCTGCCCAACTGTTACCGGCATCACGCATCTGCTTCAGCCGAAGCTCCTCCGCCGGCGTCCACGGCGTGTTTGTCCGGCTCTTCTTTGCCGGAGGTGGGGGCGGAGCAGGTGTCACATCGTCTGGGGGCGGAGCCTTCACCTGAGCCGTTGGTACTTGGACCGCAGCGGGAGCAGCAACCGGAGTGGGAGCTGGTACGGGAGCTGGCGGTTGCTGCTGCTGGACCTGTGGGGGCTGCTGCTGCTGCTGCTGATGCTGCGGGTGGCCCGGATGCTGCACATGCTGTGGGTGTTGCTGTTGAACGGGGACCTGTTGGGGCTGAGGTGCCGCGTGAGGAGCTTGCTGAGGAACCTGCTGCTGTTGCGGGGGAGGCACCGAAGCGTGTTGATGCTGAGGAGTATGCTGCTGAGCATGTTGTTGGGCATGCTGTTGCTGAGCATGCTGCTGCTGAACATGTTGCTGCTGAACATGCTGCTGAGCATGCTGCTGGGGATGTTGTTGAGTGTGCTGAGGGTGTTGAGGGTGTTGAGCAATATGCTGTGGGGCATGCGGGTGCTGAGTGTGCTGGACAGCATGTTGTGGGTGCTGAGCATGCTGAGCACTCAGCTGGGGCGCGTGCGGCGGAGGATGGGCCGGGGGGTGACCGCCGGTCTGGGGCCGCTTCCGTCTCGACGGAGCCGGCGCAGGGGCCGGGGTGGGGGTCTGCTGCTGGGGAGGTGGAGCCTGCGGCTGTTGAGCATGGCCCATGGACTGCTGGACCGGCGGAGCAGCATGGTGTTGTTGCGGATGTTGAGGGTGCTGCTGATGGGCAGCATGCTGTTGTTGTTGGGTGGCCTGCTGTGGTGGCTGAGCATATCCCCGAAAGTCCAACTGCTGCTGCTGTTGTTGTTGTTGCTGCTGCTGCTGCTGCTGTTGTTGCTGCTGCTGGTCGCGCCGAGTCATGTCGGGCTGCTGAGGAGGATAATGAGACGGGCTATACCAGGGGGCATGGTTAGCGAACGCGTTTGGCGGCTGCGGCTGCTGCTGCTGCAACGGTTGCTGGTGTTGCAGCGTAGGCATCGCCGTCTGCTGTGGTGGACGCCATGACTGAACGTCGTTTGCCGTCCGCTTCTTCATTACAGACGAACGGAGGAGCTGTGTCGGGAACAGCCCGGGCCAGAAGCACCAGGTTGAACCACGACGACAGAGCGACGGCGACGACGCGCGGACCCGGGCGGGGAAAGGTTGGGCGGAGGAGCAGGAGGAGCACGGAGATCGAGGCCAAGAAAGACAGAGGAGGAGCAAGACGTCGGCGTGTGTGGATGTGTATGGGTACGGAGTATGTGTGTGTGTATGTGTATAGTGTGTGTGTGTGTGTGTGTGTGTGTGTGCGCGCGCGCGCGAGCGCGGTGTGTGGATGGATGTTTTGGCCTCGTCAACTTTTTTGACAGCCTCCTCAGCTTTGCGCCTGGGTAGGTAGGGTCGGCGATGGGTCGGGTGTTCCCTGTACTCTACTTTGCTCCCATGGTTGCAGGTCAAAGCCTAGGGAGGGAGTACTTGAGGTACATAAATGGGCGGAGAGGGGGCTTGATGGGAACCTTTGTGCAGACGCCTTTTTGAAATGGCTGAGGTGTTGGCGTCTGGAGGGGGGGGGGGCAAGGGAAGGGAGAGTAGGAGGAGGAGAGAGGGGGAGAAAGAGGGCGGAGGGCCCAGATACGAAAAGGTACAAGGAGACGAGGTACTCACTGCTGGAGCTCATTCGGGTGGTTGGTGGAGTTGGAGTAGAGGTACTCCGACCCGGGGGGGAGATTCGGTGTAATCGTCCACTGGTGCATGGTCTAAAAAGATGCGCCAAAAAAAGGTCAGTTATACTTTTACTTTGCCCAGCCCGACTACATGAGTCGCTGGAAAGAATAAACAGACAGACAGACAGACAGACAGACAGACAGACAGACAGACAGGCAGACAGATAAACAGATGGAGATGAGATGAAAAGACGGCCGGTCCCCGAGCTGGTGTTCTTGTTTCCCCAGGCTCTTTTTTTCCCCGCCGTCATAATTTTTCAGAGCGTGGCGACCAAGAGTTCGGCTGCTGCTGTACCGCCGCAACCCATTCTTCAGGCAATTTCAAGGCGCGCAGATACCCCCCTCCCCCCAGGCAAGGCAAGGCAAGGCAAGGTAGAGCAAGGCAAGGTAGAGCAAAGCAAGCAAGCAAGCAAAGCAAGCAAGCAAAGCACCGGCAGCACCAAGAAAAAGAAAAAGAAAAAGAAAAAAAAAAAAAAAAGGCGGCCAGGATGGTGGCGTCTCTGGTTCTGCAGCAGCACGCGTCGAATCTTTTTTGTCGCGAGCAAAAAACAGAGATGCCCCCGGGGGACTCGGCCAAAACGAGACAATTGACGCGCAACCCCCCTCCAAGGGCTGCTTGACAGAAGAGAGAGAAAGTAGGTACTTACGGGCTAGTAGGAGTAAAAGGAAGCTCGCTCGCCGGACAGTGTGTCGTGACAGTAGCAATAGTAGTGACAGAAAAATTAGTGTCCCTTTCTGCATAAAACCAACGGTGGTAAATGTGGATTTGTCGGCGGCTGCTCTGTGTCTTTTTGGGAGATGGGAAAATGTACTCGAGGGGGTGACCGAAAGTGACCAGCTCTCAATGACTTGGGACGCAGCTAAAAGACATGCGGCCAGAAGTACCTCTGACCGGGTGGAAACTTCGGAGGAGGGGGGCTGGGGCTGCTGCGTGTGTGCGTGTGTGCGTGTGTGCGTGTGTGCTGCGGTGGAGAGCTTAGAGCAGAGAAGAGTGGAGAGGGATGGAATCACTGACTGACTGATCTGATCAGGTTTCTTCTGTGCCATCCGCCATCAGTGCATCACTGGAAAAGAAAAAAAGTCTTTTGCGGCTTGGCCGGCTGTTGCCAATCGCTGTCATTCACTGTCATTCGCTGTCATTCGCTGCCTCTCGCTTCTCGGCCCGGTGGTGGTGCTTGACGGCCCGCCACTTTCAAATGAATGGCGGCACAACAGCCAGCTGCCAGCCAATCAGAGATGTCCTCGGTCCCGGGCCAAGCGGTGTCCGCTGACTGATGTCGTGACTCTCGAGGCGTGAGCTTGATTGACCCGAGGGCAAAGGCGGTGCAAGTGCAATGGAAACGAGATGTCAAGAATTTTGATCTCTCCCTCTCTCTCTCGATGATGGATGGATGGACGGAGGCAGAGACGGAGCCGGCCCACGGGCAGCCAGCCCAGGGAGTGAGTGGTGGCGCTAGTGTAGCTTTTGGCGTGTCGGTCTGCGTGTTGCTTGTCAAATTCCTGGCGCGAGGATTGGATGGCGCCAAGCGATACAAGCCGACGTCAATCAAGCAATCACGGAATCCCTGGAAGAGGAGAGGGAGGCTTTGCATGTGCGCGTAATACTGACGCGAGCAGCAGTGAGCCTTCTCTTCTTTTTCTTTTTTTCTCCGTGTTTTGTTTTGATTTCTACGATACGGCTGCTGATGGCGATGACAATAGCGATGGTGATGGCGATGGCGAGATGTATCTTCTTCAACAGTACATATATGTAGCTACGTATGTACAATTGAGGTGACGCAGTGGGGGTCGAGGTCGGCTATCGCTCCCAAGGATTGATGGGAAACGGTCAACAAGTGGTGTGTTCTGCTGTGTACTTTGGCTGGAAGTATCTCGCATGTCCTGGGGTGAAGGACCAGGTTGTTGGGGGTTGGGCCGGGGAGCGGGGAAGGGAAGTACATACATGCATTGTTTCCCTCTTTCTGCTTTGGGAGAGCAGCTGGCGGATGTGCTTCGAACTGGGCGATGCCGAGGGAGCAAACAGTCGACCTTGAGATCGTTCTTCCAGCCCTTTGGTCGGTCGCCATGAAAGCTTCTCTGGAATTGACTTCTTTCCGGCGTGAATATCTCTCAAGCCGTGAAGTCACCTGGACGAGTACCAAGTATACATGGCTCTGGCGGTCTCCACCGTGCGAGCTAACTCGCGGGAGCTTTGCGAGCACGGACTTGGGCCAACGACGCTGGCTGTGCGAGGCTGATGGATCAAGATTCGTAGCTGCCTCGGGAGTAGCTTTCGGTGCTCGACATGTAGGCATGAGGTTTGTTCCAAGACATTAGTGAATGTCAAATGCGGGATCACTATTGCAATCAAAGGTCGAATGCTAGTTTCAAACCCAGATCCTTGTCTATGGTAAACCATGAGTAAAGTATGTACCTGTACATTGCATAAGTTACTCTTTTCGATCTAGATCTGCCTACATTGCTTATCTTATCCTTATCTCCCCTCCAGATCAGATCAAGGCCAGGTACCGTATCCTCGCCTTCCCATTTCTCTAAGTACATAACGATCAACTGCAAGAACTGGGGGCTCCTTTGGTCTTCTGTTGTCTGCACATAATAGGAACATATCGCATCATTTTCCCTAGTTCGAACTCCAAGCAATTGGACAGTTCCCCCTCTGTGAGATATTTCTTTTCCGCATCAAAACCATCCCACGTTACGCCCCGTACCTAGGTAGCAACCGGCTCCGCAACAGCCCGGCCATCTCGTGTGATGTCATTGCACCGGCACCGGTTCCCCTTTTTGGTTGGTGGTATGAGCGCCACCACTCTCCACAACGGTGTCGATTGTACCTATGGTGGGTAAAATGCAGTTGAAGGAAGAAACGTGTGTTTTTTCCTTGTCAGAACACTCACTCAAGCTGTCATCCATCGAAAGCCTTGCTGATTTTAGAATGGAATTCTCAACTCATACAGCAGGATTGCTGTCTAAGTAATTCCTTGATACCTATGATCTACTTTCCATGATCCTAAACGTATACCTTTGGTCTAATAAGGAGCATCCAGGTGGGTAGCAAGTTACCTGGCTTTCAAGTACAACTCCAAAATTGACTGGGCAATGTTCAATTCACACCATCCGTTTCCATCCTGAAGATGAAACTGGTAAGTTCGGGGAGAAGATAACTTGGAGCAATTGCCCAGGATTTTCTCTGTTTATTAAAGGAATAAGGGCAGTGGCTTAGGTACCTGCCCCGAGGACTGTCCAACTACCTAGATAGGTATATCTGCCGGGTAGGAGAGCGATTCTCTCCAGGTCTTGACTTTACAGCGTTTTTGAAGTCCATTTCTCAGGTCTTCTGCTTCCGTGTTCTTCCAGGTTCTTTCACTCACCACTTTGCCTTGGTGCCTTCACGTATGTTTAGCCAGCCTCTACACCCATTTTTACATCAAGGACAGGATATAACCAGAACAGTCGCACACGTTTGTAGGCGCCAGGCCCCAACATACAGCGCACTTCGGGCTAAGAAGCGCTGCCCTGACGGGACCTGTTTACTCGGGGGTTACTTGGACAACTTCCACAGTAATACCGAGTTCTGGTTCTCATCTTACTCTATAACTCGACTATGCTTAGGTTAGAATGCAAATCAGGCCAGTCGTTATTACATAGGGCACCGCACAGCTGACCTTGCCCTCAGTGTCTCTAATAGATATCCGAAGCGAGAGTAAACATGAGAAATTACCGACAGCATGCATCAAACAACATGGGAAACGAGGACGTAAAAAACCAGGTCAGACTCGAGGTTTTGCTGCTGCCGTAGTGAGAAACTACAGGTCGATACGGTCAAACAATCCGTGCCCTTGGAGTCTACCGACGTCTTTGCTCGTTTCTCATAGGCAAAAAGGCTAAATCATGAGTAGAGGGCGTGTTTATACACCTAATGGGCAGGTAAATCACCGTCGAGATATCCAGAAATTTTGATCCAGTGTGACGAATTCGGAGCTGGTCTTCCTTTCACGATATTTCAGAGACGGAGTTGGGCTAATTGACCAGGCTGCGCAATATAGTGAGATCACGTCATTGGCAGCAAGGCAAGTAAGAAGACGGGAGATCTGGCCAGCTCGCTGCCGTAAGAAAGGGGTGACTGCTTTGGAGCAGAGTTATGCATCCACGGTTTTGCTTTGTGCTAAGGGGCATAACATTCCAGAGGCGATATCTCTCCCGGGTTGGTGTGCGCCAGCTGGTTCGTCACATCGTCCGATGCGAAAGCTCTTGTTCATCCCATATCCAAGTCGACCTGCCATCTCAACAGCCCCAAAATTTGATCCAGCCCATCTTCCGATGAGAACGGGCGCATCGACGTGCGAAAGAGTGGTGTATGCGGGGAGACATCGGCTGAAACAACAAAAGTTCCAGTTCAGATCATCGTGAGTTTGAGGTCAGGGCGCGCGGCTCTGCAGATGGTTAGGGTAAGGGAGGGGGGCGGGTCCATCAGGAAGGGAAAAAAAGGTGTGGTCTGTGTGTTTTCTTGGGAGTGAAGTCTCAGGTGAGTAGACAGGGGTCCCCCGTTCCTGGCGGTTTTGACACGATTAGCGAGACCCGCACCTCCTCCACATGCATGTGTCTTGGCACAGATCTGGAAAGCCTCGTCCGAGTGGGAGAGGGTGTGGTTTGTTGGCTTCTTTGGTGTGTCATGTGAGGAACGACAATGTCTAGAGTTCAAACAGGTCCATGATTGTATTGAATGGGGGGTTTGAAAGTTCAATCCTCGACTGAGTACACAAGTAAAGCCTACACAGTTCGTCGAAGTAGCTAGGCGGTTTCCATTCTTCTTTGAGCTGGACGGGATAGTGTCCGTGCACATTGCACCCCGGGCGGGGACCGGGTTTTGACGCACACGCAACAAACGGGTATTGGCATCAGGACATGGAGATGCCATCCCATCCGTCCACTGGGAGTTGCCGACCTAGGGTCTGGACACTGACAAGTGCTGTTATGATGATCATGGGCTGGTCTGAACGAAACTGCGAATCTGATCTGACATGAACCCTTTATGCAGAACGTGGGCTCGGCCTTCATCTGATATATTGATGTCTATCATTTGTCTGAGAACTTCTAGAAGCTTGTCAGAACCGTTCTCCGTCAGTGCCTGGGTGATGCCAACTGTTGAAGATCGTGGAGAAGATGAGGACTTCTTGCTGTGTGTAGCCTTTTCGACTACGGGGGGGGGGGGGGTGTCGCATCATTGCTTTGTGGTAGGTATGGTGCCTTCGTGTCCCTATACCCGCAATTTGACATAGCAACATGGTTACGATTTACTCCAAGACTCCGACGGCCCGTGAATACTGACGAAAGCCAGTTGGGTACGGGTCGAGGTGACAACATCCGACCTCCGCGCCACCCGATGATCCACAGGGATCCGGGATGTATGCTGTCCGTATGTAGGCGGTAGAATCGGGAAAGGCCAGAGCGAATTGGGTGTGCGAGTGCGTGGTGAAAACCAGGAGGTTTAATCACAATGCAGCGATCTCCTTTCTGGGCAGGATCAAGATGATGGCCTACAGGCCCAGGGGATCTCGGAGAATTCCACCTGGCAACCATCATGGCGGCTACAACACGGCCCGGAGCAGCTACATGCCATCGGCGCTGTGATGTGTAGTCGAACTGGAGAAGAATGTGACGATGTTGTCCCCAGCGAGATTGAAGGTACATATCACCGTCCGGATCTTTAATCAGCCAGTCTGGGCATGTTCGATTCGTGAATTAAGAGCCACTTTGGAGCTCGGACAAGAAACTCTGATGCTGAGATGTTGACATAGACGTAGGCATATATCAAAGTATGTACGCATGTCGATCATGGTGCGGCGGACGTCGCAACAACACCAGTCAAGGGGAATCGAAAAGATTCGGCAGTTATGAACGGCAGTTTGCTGTCAACATTCTGCTGATATCGGGAACGGGAAGGTTGGATCCCCGGGTTTTTGTTCGTTTTTTGTGACCCGGAAGCTTCCCATCAGCTCGCGGAAGAAACGCCAGGCGCCAGCAATTTGTGCGTTCTGGGTAGAAAACACCCCTACCTACCTTGTAGCAGGGTCATAACCCAAGGGGTCGGTGAGTATCATCGTCAGAAAATCATGTGACTGTGATCATGCTGGGGTACATAATTGTCGCCAGGAACGAAGGAACCGCGGGTCAGTTCAGACGAAGGTAAGCACCAACGTATGTGATGATCCTATGATGGCCATCTAGAACAATTCTCCCGGAAATAAGAGCACGATTTCCGTCAATAGCATTGTCTGGTTCCTGATCTGGATCGACTTTGAGACTTGAGTCGCAATGCTTACTCGTAGGCTGCTATAATGTTGAGAGTTAGATGGTTGTTATCCTTCGCGGTGTTTCCGATCGCTGTTTGAAAGCTTAACGGGAATGAGGGGTCGTTGTTCTCTTGTGATTCCCGCTGCCGTTTGGCCGTACGAGGTAGTTGATCCCCCAGCTGTGGGATTTGACCCGCGGCAGCAAATCTTCAAACCAAACACCAGGAGCGGCAAAAGAGTGTTTATGTCTCGAGCGTGATGCTTTCCAGGGTTTCCTGGGGCACTGGAAAGAGATATACCACAAGACGGCATCAATCCAGCATAACCAGATGGTACTCTGTGAATCGGATAATCAGGCTTCAGCCTTGTCGGCCGGGGCATCTTGATGGGTCGTGTTTCCAATCATGTTTGTTCGGCCGGTTCGCTGACTGATCTGCTCTGGTCTGCTCGACAAGGCAAGGCAAAGGCAAGGCAAGGCAAGGCAAGGCGAGAAAGGGGCGTCCATCCACAGTCCAGTTTCTGGGGACGAGATGGAGAGATGCGGTCCATGGTGGGGTCTGGGTCTGTGGGGGAGGCGGCCGAATGAGGAAAGGCCTGATACACGGCTGAGATTGCGCCAACGGCTTAGCGAGTTTTAAGGATGCCCCACCCAGGCCCGGAAGTCGATCGGAGACTGTAAGCAGGGGCCGTCCTGGCGCATATCCCCTGCCAGGATAAGTGGGTCGCATTAAGAGAGACATCGCCTTCAGATGTCTGTTGTCTTTTGTCTTTACAATTAATTGCTCTAGTGTAAGGTGTGTGATGAATATGAGGGGGTGGTATCAAAGTGTTGTTTACGTACAGGGCAGCTTCTCGGCATGTGCCCCGAGGTGATAGGGCTAGGTCAAGATGTGGCCAGTGTAAATGGTTCCCCAGCCGCCGACCGTTCAGCCAGGCCACTATTCGTCTGGGTCAGCCGAGGGAAACTACTGCACTAGCAAGCGGCTACTCCCATGGGCAATTGGGCAAAGGAAGAAACATTGTCATGTTTCGAGCACGAAAATGTCAAACCAAACGAGCGGATTGGGTGGGCTTCCCCATGGGTTTTGCTTGGTTTTGGCCGTCTCTGCTTGGACGGGGGACGCGAAAAGGATGCCAATCGCGGGGCAGGTGGGGGCTTGGCTTTTACTCACCCTCATCCCTGCAAGAGCCTCAGAACAGGGGCTGCCAGGGGTTGTAGCCAATCGCAGGTGGGCTACAGGCACACCAGGGCTACTTTGTGACACCTGGCTCAGGACAAGAACGACCGGCAAAGGGGGGCAGACCCGTGTCAAACGTCAGACACAGACCTTTGAATGCTCTGCTTTTCTTTCAACAACCTCGAAGCGACATCAATGCAGCCTCTCTTTTTGCCTGCGCCCAGAGGTCTCTCACTCGTCACCCATGTCCCTCTCTCTCTCTCTCTTTGCCCCTCCCTCGTCCGTCGACCCCACGATGCCCACGATATCCTTCCCGGCGCTCCGGCCGACCGTCGAACGGGCCCCAAGGCGGCAAACATCGCCCTCCATTCCGATATGCAAACACGGCCTCGAAAGCGCCATCGAGTTCGCCCATTGGGGGCAGAGAAGACACAAACACCTCGATCAACAACAACGCCCGAACCGAACCGCCCTCTGATCGTGCTGTTTGGAGCGGCATGCCTCTCGGCTGTCCCGTCTGTTTTGAAGCATTGCTTCCCATCTATTTTGGCCAGCCGTCTCGTTTACCGAGTCGAGTCAGCGCTTCGAGATACACGCTCACCCTCTCCAGGTGGAGGAGAAACCTCAACAAACACAGTCTGCCTCCTGGTTGTCATCCCGCATGACTTGCCCTGGGCCTGTCTAGATGCCTGTCATCCAGACTCGTGCTCAGCCAGGCACCTCGGTCCATGGACGCTCCATGACCAGGGTAACGGACGGCGGTGGACATGCGCACGTCCATCCACCTAGCCAGATCCAACCATACCGTGTCTTGGTTGATACATGAGCTTTCCTAAAGGGACCAGCTTGCGAACAGTCTCTTTGTGTTTTCTCCGATTCTTGATACCACGAATGCTACCGCATGCAAGTGCTTGCGGATCAGGTCGTTGCAACACCCTCTCAACGATATCTCCAAAGCTCGTATTTCCTCTCTGTTCGTTCATCACGGTCTCAGTGCCAGCGCCCCCAACGTCTCGGTGCCAATCCTGCCTGCTCTGTGCGTATACTACCTACTCATAACAGCACACAAAGGCCTGGGTCTACGGGACCATCGTCAGGCGGCTCCCACACACCCCTGCTCAGTCTTGGACTTCTTGGCTTGTCCACCATCCCGGGCCACGCCCCCAGGACTCCACATTGGTCTGTAACGGGCCTCAGAGCTGTTGTGTGTCTGCCCCCCTGTCTGCCCAGTGGGACTGGATGAGCCTCGAGCCGAACGTCATGCAACCCATAGCGGGCATTATTACCCATCCCTTCCCCCCGCCACGCCTCGTTGCTTTCTTCTCTTCTGTTTATTTCTCCTCCACCAAGGTCTTACCTGTGGATATCTTCATCTACCATCACGACGCTGTTGCGTGTGTGTCCCACTCTTTCTTCTTTCTCTTCTCGCAGCTAAACATAGTCACTCTTTGATCTTGCCCAACTAGCTCGGCTGCTTACATTCTTTTTTGGAGAGAGATTGGTTTCATTCTTCGACGACAGTATAATCTGGTTCATTATACTCGACTTTTTAAACAACTCCTTTTTTTTTAACCTCTTTCACAAACATTCGATTCGTTCCTCGTGCTCGTTGACATCGCTCCTCGGCAGCCGGTCACTCACTTCCTTGAGTGCTTGATCTTCCAACCCGAAACGAAACGACTCTTCGATTCTTACAGCAGCAAGTTCTGCTCGTTCCTTTTTTGAACAACCTTCGATTCTTGGGACATACCGCCTGGAAAAGACAGCTGGATCTGACAAACACGCCTCAGCACACTTTTCCTCGACTTGTTTTGGTACACTGAACAGCCGGAAAGGACAGAACCCTGTGAAATTGGATTATGATGTCCCCAACTATTCCCATGACGGGCCAAGCCGGGCCCTATACCCCTACCACCGACGCCATGGATCGTCATGAATACGGTGTCACAAAAAACAGAAAGGCAACTTCGACTGGTGGCGGGAGAGCATGGAGTGAGGAGGAGGTATGTGCCCAAGGGGGAAAGCAGTTGAGCGGGAAACCATTGTGTACTGACGCGGAATTGCGTAGGAGCTCTACCTTCTTCAGACACGTCTCCAGAAAATGCCCTACAAGCACATTGCCGCCCACTTGAAGAAGACTGAGCTCGCGTGCCGCCTTCATTATCACCAGCTCAGCCATGGCAGCAACCGCCGCAAGCGTACCACGTCCACGTCATCGGGATCCTCGAACAGCGGACACTCCCCTCCGCTTCACGGCTCGATTCCCTCGCCCATCCGGGAGCAGGACGATTCGCTCAGCCGATCTGCATCTCCTCCCGGCTCCGCACGATCTTATGGTTCGATCAGCCCAACTGGCATTCAGCTCCCCAGCATCATGACGGCTACCGCTTCCGCCAGCGCATCGCCCCGTCTGCCCACCATCCTTCCCAAACCGGCCTCGATGAAGCTCGCCCTCGCGTCTATTGGCGGTTCGGCCTCGGCGGGCACTTCCTCTCCAACGGCGTCTCGTGGGTATCCCACCCCGTTGCACGAAGTCCACCCACACAGCGCCCCCTTGACAGCCCCTTCTGGCTACCGTGGGTCCATGACACCAACCAACGGTTCGGCGCCTTATCCCTCCTACACGTCAAACAGTGGCCCTGCCCCCCATGGTCCAGGACGTCTGCGCCTGGACTGCTCTGCGCTCCCGCCTCCTCCTTCGTCGGCCGGTCTTTCTGCCACCCCTTATTCTGCCAGCCACCCGGTGGATATGGGAAAGCTCAACGCCATCTACAATGCGCACCGTGCCTCTTTCTGGGCCAGCATCGCGGCTGAGTACGGACCCGGTGCCAACCCCGTGGTCTTGGAGCAGGCATGGCGTGGAAACAGCCCTACCTCCAGCTCCAGCTCCAACTCCAGCTCCAGCTTGAGCCTGGGCATTGCTGCCCACACGCCCATTACGCCGATCGGTAGCCCTGACGATCACTTTTACAACGGGCAAAGCAAGCCTGACAAGACCAGAATTAGCGCCATCCTTGGCATTGATGCCAACCCGAGGAGTCCCAGGGAGAGAGAGATGGTGAGAAGATTGGAAGAAGAGAGGTGCTCGTTAGGAGTGGTCGGCGCTTGAGTGGAGGACATTTTCAGTCTTACAAGCCGCCTGCTCTGACGAGCATGATTGGTAAGACACAGGACTTCTGGGTGGTCTCAGTTGTTCCACGCTATCTTCTCTTCGTTCAGAATCTTTTAGGGGTGATGTTTTGGGGTGTTTTGCCATTTTCCTCTCCCTTTTACTTCTCGAGAGGCCACCAGGGCACCCGTGGGACACGGTGTTTCTTACTGGGGCCAGGGCTTCACCTTTTCTGTCGGAGTTTCTTTTTTTTTTCTTTTCTTTTGGAGGCTGATTCTTTTGCTTTGCTCCCTGTTGGTGCTGTTATACTTGGCGTTTTGCATGTTTGCTACGTTGTATGCCAGCTGAGAGTTGGGTCTTGGGCTGTAAAAAGCCTTGGTGTCGAGTTTTATACAATGACCCTTCCCATTTTCTGCTCTTCCCTTTTTTGGTATGGCAGGTATCGGTGGGAGGAAATCTATGATTGGGAAAGTTGGACGGATGCTACGGACGGATGCTACGGACGATGATGGATGAAGAGATGACTTCAACAAGACAACACACTTTGAACCAGCCACGATGACAACACCCACGCACGCCCTGCTACGTACCTACATACACATCCCATTCGAGATGTTGTATGAGAAATGAGCCTCTTGTTGCCCCAGTGAAGGTGCTCTGTCTTTCTACTTCTTCTTGCTCTTGTTTCTTTCTCCGGAAGGTATACATGATGTTCAGCAATGAGGCGGATTTGCATGTCCTTTTTTCTTTTCTTCCATTTTCTTCAATTTCTTTTCATGGGGGGTTTTTGGGTGGCGATGGGTTGGGTGGGAGGGGCGAGCAGTGCATAGGTAGCGGGGGGTGGATAACCGGATAGGCGGTGGTGGTGTTGAGATGGGATTCGTGTACGATACATGACAGAGAGGAAGAGAAAAACGTGGGACTTCATCCCTGCCCTTTCGTGTTTTGTCCCCTGAACTTGGACCTTTCCCCTTCCCCTCTGTAAGAGGGCAAGACGGGGAAAAAAAATCAAGTGAACTGAACCTGAAACCGACGGAGCTAAGCAAAGCGTAGTGTCAACGGCGGGGACCATGGCCATGTCAATGCAAGCCAGTGCTGACCCCTGTTCTTTCTCCCGAGTCCTCCCCCTTCCTTTTGCAGGGCAGCCAAGCTTGTGCCCAATCCCCGGTCAACCCAAACTTGGACGGAAGGTGAACCCGAAATACCCAGAATGGCACCCGAGAGGCTGTATCGCGTCAGGAGGAATCAAAATGATCAACATGGTGCAATGGTAGGGCAAGCAAGACAGGCGGTGCTCTTTCCGACAAGACTTGATAGGCACACAGATAGGTTCATGGAGGGGCGGCTATGTACTAGGTTGATGCCGCGCAGATAGTCCATGTCGGTGATGTCGAGGTGTGGTGACACAGGAACGCCGGGCATACTTTCCTGATCAATAAGAGGCAGTCCCGATGCAGATGTGGTGTTCGCGGCAGAGGAACCGAACGGGACGGAGGCTCTTCTTTGACTTGGCCAGCCCAACTTGCCCAACTGCAAGATTTAAGTTGCAGCCGACCTCGGCTCTCTCTACCTACCTACCTACCTAGGCGTGACGGGAAGGTGTCAAGATGTGTCAAGACACGCCATCATCACGACGACAGAGACTCTCCACCACTACTGACACGACCATGACATGACCACTCACTGCCAGATCGATGCATCTGCCGCTCCATCATCCCCCCTCGTACCAAAGGAAAAAAGGAACATCGGGAAAACCAACCGGACAGACTCTCGGCTCTTGGCTGATGAGCCCTGTCCACATGCTCGCTACCCGTCCTCGACGTTGCACTCGACGACACAGTCGCTCATGCAGCAACGGTCGGCTCCCGAGCCCCGGGCCCGCCGTCTTCGGCTTCATTGGGCCATCAGTTCGAGCTGGCCGTCTTGTTGGTGAAGCGAATCCGGCACTGAGAGGAAGACGGCATTCTTGCAGATTCCCGCATCGAAATGTGTTGTGTGGCATTGGCGGTGGGGGGAGTTGTCATCCGGGCCTTCTTTCCCCTGTGGTCAACATGTCACTGACAGGAACGAACCCCGTCGTCGTCCACTCGGGCGAATCGACTGATAGAGGCAAGCCGTTGAAATCCACACTTGGCGGACACCCACGGCCCCGAGCTTTTTTTTCTTTATCCATATCTGCCAACCTACCAACCTGCTCGCCCTGTCCACCACGTGTAGGTAGTGGTAGGGATCGCATCCGCCGTTCGTTGACTGGCGGGGAACCGATCCATCCTGCTGACTGACGCAAAGTTCTGGTTCTGGCGGGAGCAGTTCATGGCGAATGCGAGTGAAGTGTGTGGGCTCCCGGGCCTTCTTCAGACAGACAGACATGGTAGGGCTCCGGCGCCGAGTTGAGGGGGACCGGGCATGGCATGCCTCGTCGTCTCGTCTCCCACCGCCCTTTTCCGTGGTTCCGCCCTGTCCATCCTGCAATTTGGCCTTTCAAACCCGCAACCCAGACACTTGATGACTGTTCAACAGGCTGTGGCCGAGTACCTACCTTATCTGGAGCAACAAAACTGCTCATACCTAGCTACCGTGAGAACACCTTGGGAGCACCTGGCTTTTTAGTCCAACTCATCAAGATCGGACCGTTACCGGCGACTGGGTTCTGTGTGACCTTTTTTCTTTTTTCCTCTTCTTTTTCCTTTGGGAATTGTTCAGTTGATTTCGCGTTTGCCCGAAGTGGAGCTGCCCAGGACCTGCCAGGAACGCTTTCCTAGCGGACTCCACAGCCGGTAACCAACCACCAGGCGGAGCATCCAGGGCAGCCGGCCGCTGTTGCTGTTGTACATCACGGGCAAGGTTTGGCTGTCGTCAGGGTATCTCCAGATGGAGATGCTCCCGAGCTGACAATTCCATTGATCCCCGGGAGCTCGGCTGGCCACCTGGCTTGAACAAAGGACTGCTAACTAGCGGTTCCTGGCCCTTTCCCTTTGCCACATCTCGTCATGTGAAGAAGAGCCGAGAGCAGGAGCAACTCTGGAACCGGGAGTAACCAGCGAGCGGCCTTGGGTATCCGTGCCTGGCGTGCGAGAGGAAAATCCTTACGATATTTATATCCGGTCCCCCTTCCCACCAAACCTTTCCCTTGGCTCTTCTAGAAGCGCATACTCTTCCTCGTCCGTCCACCAAACGTTCACACCCTTGTCACCGGGTGTTTCCCTGGAACTACCTCTCTCTGCCTCTCCCTCATTCACTCACTCTCTCACACCCACAATCGCTGACCAGAGTCGGCCAAAAACTCAGAGAAAGATCACAACCACTTCGACTCACAACTCACAGTCACAATGGCACCTCACGCGGAAGAGTCGGTGGGGACCCATACCGGGCACGAGGATGTCCAACACCAGCAAGAGAATGAGCGCAACATGCCCAAGCCCGGCGAATACATCCAGTTCGACCATCTTCCCGCCGGGGGTCCTCTGAACCGCTGGTCTCACTTCATGACCCGGGACCACGATTATCCCGGAGCCCAGGCAAGTCTTTTTGCTCTTTATTTCTCTCAAAAACTACCGAACGGAGGAGCCAGTTGTCGAAATCCCGATACAAGCCGGCCCACCGGTTCAGCCTTGGGCTGCGGGAAGCTGCGGATGCTCTGCTCGGCAGAAGCAATCATATCTCTATTACCTATCTTTACCCTTTCCAGACGTCGGGCCTGAGGGGTAGCTAGCTCCTAGCTCTTGTGGGGCTGGCTTCTTGAGCTTGCTGATCTAGTTGATGGGAGGGAAGCTGCAAGATAAAACAACGGGTGGTGGGGATGATGCTAGCGTTGGGCAGAATGGCTAATATGGGGACTCTTTTTTCTTTTTGCAGGCTATGCTTTACTCGGCTGGTGTCCCCAATAAGGATATGATGAAGAATGCGCCCCATGTGGGAATCGCTACTGTTTGGTGGGAGGGCAACCCGTGCAAGTGAGTTGCCTATTCTGGATGTCCTTTTGGGAGCAAGGAATGAAACTAACAGCGGTGATTTACTACAGCACCCACTGTGAGTCAGGCCTGGTGGTGGTGTATGTCTGAGAGAGAGTCACTGAGTCGGTTGCTGATGTGTGGTAGTGTTGGATCTTGGCATCATTGTGAAGAGGGCCGTTCAGAAGCAAAACATGCTGCCCTGGCAGTTCAACACCATTGGTGTGTCGGACGGCATCACCATGGGCTCGGAAGGTGGGTTGTTGGGACACAATGGCTGGGCTTCACATACTTACCACTCTCATTGTAGGCATGCGTTTCTCTCTGCAGTCCAGAGAGATTATCGCTGACAGTATCGAAACGGTCACATGCGCCCAACGCCATGACGCCAACATCAGCATTCCCGGTTGCGACAAGAACATGCCCGGTGTGATCATGGCCGCTGCTCGCCACAACAGACCTTTTGTCATGATCTATGGCGGTACCATGCGCAGAGGCCACTCCCAGCTTCTCGACAAACCCATCAACATCTCGACCTGCTACGAAGCTGTGGGCTCCTACAGATACGGTGTGCTCAAGGCCAGCTGCAAGAAGCAGTCCGGTGCCGAGGCTACCGCCAGCGAGGTCATGGACGATATCGAAGAGCATGCCTGCCCCGGAGTTGGTGCGTGTGGCGGCATGTACACGGCCAACACGATGGCCACAGCCATTGAAGCCATGGGATTGTGCCTTCCCGGGTCCTCGTCATTCCCCGCCGAATCTCCGCAGAAGAGAAGCGAGTGCGAGCGGGCCGCCGAGGCCATCCGCATCTGCATGGAGAAGGACATTCGACCCCGCGACCTGATCACACGCCGGTCTTTCATGAACGCCTTGAAGCTCACGATGGTGCTCGGCGGAAGCACCAATGCCGTTCTGCATTTTCTGGCCATGGCCAACTCGGCTGATGTTGACCTCACTTTGGAGGATATCCACCGCGTCTCGGAGGCCACCCCGTTCCTGGCGGATCTGGCCCCGTCTGGCAAGCATTACATGGAGGATCTCTGCAACGTCGGTGGCACTCCCGCCGTCCTCAAGTATCTGATTGCTGTTGGCCTTATCGACGGCGGCATTCCCACCGTCACGGGCAAGACTCTTGCTGAGAACGTCTCGAGCTGGCCTTCGCTCGACCCCGGCCAGACCATCATTCGGGACATTACGAAGCCCATCAAGAAATCGGGCCATTTGCGTATTCTCTACGGCAACTTTGCTCCCGGTGGCGCCGTGGCCAAGATCACTGGCTTGGAAGGCGACTTCTTTACCGGCAGGGCCCGCGTGTTCAACAAGGAGCACGAGCTGAACAGCGCCCTTTCCGCGGGTCTCATCAAGGATGAGGAGGAGGGCCAGGTCTTGATTGTTCGCTACGAGGGTCCCAAGGGCGGCCCGGGCATGCCCGAGCAGCTCCAGGCCAGCGCCGCCATCATGGGTGCCGGCTTGAAGAAGATTGCCCTTGTCACGGACGGGCGCTACAGCGGTGCCAGCCACGGGTTCATTGTCGGCCACGTTGTTCCCGAGGCGGCTGTGGGCGGGCCCATTGCCCTTGTGGAGGATGGCGATCTCATCACTATTGACGCTGTCAAGAACAGCATTGATATCATTGAGGCTTCGGGCATCAAGGGCGCCGCGGGCATTGCGGCGGAGCTGGAGCGTCGCCGACGGGGGTGGAAGCCGCCCAAGATGAAGCCTGTGAGGGGCGTCCTGGCCAAGTATGCCCGTCTTGTGGGCGATGCCAGCCATGGTGCTGTTACCGATGCTGGCGGTCCGGCTTGGTAAGTCTTTTTTCAGTTTGCTCTCTTCTCTCGCTGCTGCTTTTCGGTTCTTCTCTCTCTCTCTCTGTCTCTCTCTCTCTCTGGGCGGGGGCTTTTTCTATTAGTTTTCGGCGTTTTTTTCTTTCTCTTGTCTCGCTGTAAAAGTCTGGAATGGTTGGGAAAAAGATACCAAATCAGAGCATGGCGTGGGGCGTGGGAACGGTTGGCGTTTTTTTCTTTTATGGAGGGGTTTATTCCGGGCGTTTGCTTTTTCTTCCTACGGGTCTCGGGAAGAAGGGATAGAGGGATAGATTTTTTCTGGGGACAGGCAATAATGAATGGCGTCGGGTTATAGAAGAAAGGGCGGTGATCAAGGGACGAGATGACTGGGAATTGAGAGGGCTTTTTTTACAAGGGGTTCTTTTAGGGATCTTGTCGTGGTGGTGGTGATCAAGAGGTTTTTGTCGGTATATGTTTTGTAATGTCTTAATCACCTCTTTGTTTCTTAGTCTGGTACTCTCCCCGGTGGGGCGGTTGGGGGGGGGGGGGGGGGGGGGTGGGTAAATAAGAGGGGTTTCGTAGAGAAAAAAATAGAGAGTTGTTGAGGTTGGCTGTGTTGTTTTGTTCTGTGTTGATGTAAATGAGATGACTGAACACTGATCTCGCCCCTTTGCTGTATGCATATATTTCTTCCTCACTAACGCGGAGATGTATCTGAAAGGTGAATGGTTTACACTGTTGCTCGTGGCCATCGTGCTACATATCAAGACATCCTCGTCCAAAAATCCATAAACAAGATGAAGCAACACGCAACAAAACAGGTATACAACAGAATAAAATAACCAGCATTGTAATATGACTTCATCAAAGCGCGCCCGCCCCGACCATCCCCAATGCAAAGTGCCGGTCCCAGTTGAGATTGTGGTGATTTTTGCTATGTGACAACAATGTGTGTGTGTTTGTGTGTGTAGTGTAGTGTGTAAACAAGAAAGCTCCATAAGGGAAAAAGGGGCAATAATTCCAAAGTAGCAAAGCTAAGCTACCAGAGTTTCGCCGCCATCTATTTACGGTCATGGCCTCATTCCTAATATGCCATGTCCTATCCGTCCGTCCATCCATCTTTTTGCGAAACAAAGCAGGTTCAACAAGACCCGTTTGGTATCATTATAGGTAAAAAGTTGTACACTGCTCGTCAGCTGGGTTTGCTATACTCGACAAGAGTTGCAGCTTCATTACGTCTTCGATCAAGGACTCGCCCATCCACCGGCAACATCAACCCACTCGGCCAAGCAGCTGCCCTCCTTGCCTTCGACGTCCACAATGTCCGTGTCGCAGCGGCAGCGGCAGCCCACACCGTTCTCCTTGGGTGTGTCCCACTCCTCCCAGTACTTGTCCTCCTCAACACGCTTGCGCTCATCGGTGGTGGTCTCCTCAAGCCAGGGCTGACGAGGCAGCTGGCGCGCGGGGGCGTTGGCGGGGCAGTGCTGAATCGTGGTGTGGCGGTAGCCAAAGTCGCGGAAGTAATGGATATCGCGAGGGGCGAGGAGAGCACCGGCGGCAAGGGAGTGGATGGGTGCATCACCCCACTGTGTAGCAAGGTCAGTACGACTGGATAACCAAAAAGGGGGGCAAAGGCAAAAGAAGAACATACCCGCTCCATCCAGAAACCGCCACTGCGGTCCATCATCTGGAAGAAATCCTCATACGCCTTACTCCGGAAGAAATCGAGACGGGCAATCTCAAAGTTGGACCAGAAATGGCACATGTTGTACTTTTCGCCCTCCATTCCTTCCGGGTCAATCTCGGGCTGCTTGCTGCGCAGAATCTCGTCGGGAAGCTGGGGCGCAGGGGGCTCGGGCTTCTTGTCGGGCTGGGGCTCGACGAACATCTCCCAAAGACCCTGGGAAGTCAGGTTGTTGAGGCGCTTGTAGGCGGAGGCATAACGGAAGATGTTGGGGACAGTTTCGCGAAGCTCCTTGACGGCAATGGTAAAGCCATAGGTCTTGTTGTGCTCAATCATGGCAAGGAAGGGGTCACTGAAACCGGTTAGCAGTCTGAATGCCGACAGAGAACCAAGAGAAGACATACTAAGTGATATCGCAGAAATAGCTGATCTCTGGCTCCAGGCGCCAGTACCACTCGTACTTGGCAAGGAGCTCGTGCTTGTAGAAGAATCTGCATCTGGTCAGTATACTGTGCAGCTCGAGCAACAGAGTGGTGGGGTAACGTACCCAGAGTAGAAGCGGCACATAAAGTGGTAGCTCTCCATGCCGCCGTACATAATGGCGTTGTCTCCCTGCTTGTTGATGCCCTCCTTGGCGACCTTGGGGTCAATCCAGTCAGGGTACCCCCACATGTCCGGACCAACCTTGCCAAACTCGACGTTGGCCTTGGTGTAGTTCTTGACCGTGTCCATGAAGGTCTGGTTGAAGTCGCCATCGTTGAGGAAGACGTAGGGGTAGTTGTACCACCGGTTGAAGTGGCGCTCGATCGACTTCATGGACTGGATAACACCATCCAGCTCCTTGTTTCTCGCGAGCACGACAAAGGCGGCATTGGCGCGGGGCTTGCTGGTATCTGGCTCGAGGCATCCGGTAACGAACACCTTGTCGTGCTTTTCACTGATTTTTCTGTAGAGACGACACAGTCAGCACACGCTCCGAGAGAAGGGCCCTGGGGTACGGGACGAAGCTCACCTTATTGCTGGTGGGGCGCCAGCAGGTATTAATATTCTCCCGGGATTGCTGGGGTGTCTGACGAAGAGCACAAGGATGAGGATGACGACGATGACGGGGAAGAGAACGACGACGCCGAGGGGCACCGATACGCTCGAGTTGCCCCGTAACCTCATTGGCCTTTTGAGGTAGGCCAGGCGGGTAGCCCATGTTTTTCGTTTGCTCTTGTCCTTTTCATCTGTGACGGGGAGTGCCAAACGGGCTCCAGCGGGGACGAACTTGCCAGCTCGTCGGAGGAGATCCATCGTGACGGATTTTCTGGGGCGGGAAGCCAGCCAGCCAGCGACGGAAGTGGTTTAGAGGTCGGTCGATGCGAGGATACAGAAGTGCGAATGGAATCGATTATGCGCCGTCCGCCCAAGGGTGTGCTCACAGGCCCAGACGACCGACAATTAAAAAAGGGTTTCTTTGGATCAACAAGGCAATTCAAGCGTCGTCCACCATATCCGTAATGTTCAAATATCAGTTCGTTCGTCGTGTGGCAGGAGAGAGCGAGCGGCAGGGAAAGAATGAATTCCCTTTGTCTGACGAGGCGGTTTGAGGATGTGGTTGTGTTGTGGTAGTGGTAGTGAGTGTGTGGTCGCAGGGAAAGGTCGGCTTTCGTTTTACGCGTCAGGAGGTGAAAACTGGGCAATTGAATCGGATCAGATTGGACACGGGTGGCGACCCTGGGTGTGGTGGGACTTTGCAGCTGTGGCCTTGTGTGGTCTTGTTGTTGCGTGCTCCTCGTCTGTCGGTTGTTGGGTAGCGATGGTCCAAGGAGGCACACTTGGACGATGTCTATCTCTTGTATTCTTCTTGCTCTCCTTCTTCTACTCTCACCGTCCGTCGTTGGCAAAAAAAAAAAAGGAGATGATGGCATTCGTTCACAAGAGAAAATGTTAGTCGAGATTGCGACCATCCCCAATCGGTACGTACCTGGTGGACATGCCCAGCGAGAGCTTGTTCACCAAAAAGTTCTAGGCCAAGAGCCAGGCACAAGAAAGGGCCCGAGCGTTGCCCTTGGCTCGGATGGAATCTGTCTGCCAGATGGCCTACAGCTGTTTGCCAACTAACTTTGGTCATTGCCCCTTTTTGGATGCAGCACACTGATCCACCATCACTGCGCAGCCTCAGGGTTCCTTGCGTTGGAGATGGCTTCTTCCTTGGGAGACTTCTTCTCAACAGTATCTGAGTGCCTGGAGAGTCCAGAGTTTCAAACAACGGCTCAACCACCGCGTGGTGTTGAAACGTTGCAGTGCCACAAAGCTTTGTGTTTTGCCCGAGCACACAAAACACTCTACGTCACTCTCTTTACAGTCCACGTTTTTCTGTCTGGCAACAATGTGGAAAACGTTGGAGTACCAACCTACTAGTACAGGTCAATATCGACAGCAGGGCAGCTCAGTTTTCGTGATGGAAATTGCCCGAGTATTTCAACCTGCAAGTGCAGTGGCACGCTTTAAACAGACAATCAGCAGTATGCTTTTCGAAGATTGTCAAAATCTCTTACTATTGTGGCCATGATGGCCATCCAAATGTTCAGGACTGGCGAAATCCAAAGTTTACTGACATGTGATGTCAAAGAAAAGTTGCTAACTTAGGATTGCTATGTTCGACTTGAAAATGCAACAATAAAACCCCTTGTGGTGTAGTTGGCTATCACGTTCGGCTGTAAAGGAATTTATTGATACCGAAAGGTCACCGGCTCGATTCCGGTCGAGGGGACTCAAATCTTTTGCTGTTTTCCTCACCACCCTTGGTGAGGGGAAATACTTTTTTAGTGCCATGACTCGTTACACCAGGGTTGGGGTTGGATGTTTGTCCTGTCTTTATGGCGATGGCAAAGACAGAACAATACCTTGGACCTACCTCCGTCATCCGAAAAAACCGAGACGGCACGCTGGATGCGAGCCTCCTCGGGAACCGAGCAGGAGAAGACATCTGCCGCGATCTGGATACCACCATACGCGGGGTGGGTGTGTGGGCGTGTACCTCCTTTATCATAAGCGCGTTATACAGCTCACCTCTATTTATTTTGCCCTCTTTCTGGCACCCGGCTCAATTAGGCCCAGTTTCAACTCGTCCAGATCGACCTTTGCCCATTCACCCAGGTATTTACCCAGTAATCCAATCATTGTGTTTTGTTCAAGATGATAGGTACACGCCTGCTATCATTGTATTACAAGATCCTGCACGGAGCATGTTTTCAGAAGCAAGTTACATTTCTCGAGATTTATACATTGGATTTTGGGCACAAAATAGATGGTATCCTCAGCAGATGACTGTCATTGGTGTGATAGATATTAGGGGCGTGGATGAGTGCGAGCAAGAAAAGATGAGACGTGAGAAGTAGCCCAAGACATGCACGTTCGCACATGTGAGAAGAATTTCAGATAATCATTCCTCTTCTAGTTGGGGGCAGATAGATGGCCTGCTATCCCAACCTCTTGGCTCTCTATCGGAGGGCATCGTAATCAACTAGGCGCGCAAGTCATAGGATCCGGCCGATATTGGACATGACGACGCCGGCGTCCGGCAACTCTCCTCGGCAGGGTCGATATTGGGATTCGGAGGGTGAGATGGGAGGTAGGCAATAGAGGGTCAAGACGGTGGAGGTACACATGGACATGAAATAAGGGAAATAAAAGCTGAACTGCTCTGCTTTTTACCTTTTGTTTCCTTGTTGAGACAACCACGAACCATACCTCTCAGAATTGTTGACCAAAGCAACATCGACATGAAAGGTATTCAGGGTGTTGTGCAATTGTCACTGCTCGTGGGGGCATGGGGGTGGGAATACAAAACGTAAGCACCACCTCTTCCACTTCATGTGTTGAGCCTAACACACTCTCTCAATAGGAAGCGCAATCCTGCCTTTCCCCTCGACGTAGTCGACAAACTCCAGGATGAGACCATGCCCAAGGTCCAAGCCTGGCTGGACAAGCAGCACAAAGCGGGCAAAGCCACAAACTGCACGCTCGAGAATGCCGCCGTCAGACAAGAGTGGTATGTTTTCTGCCTCCTGACCGCCTGTCAAAGTTGTTAGCTAACCAGCGTTGCAGGAGCGATATGACGGTCGAAGCCCGTCAAGAATACGTCCGGGCCGTCCTCTGCCTCCAGAAGAAGCCTCCCCGGGCCCCCAAAGACAAGGTCCCTGGCTCACTCAGCCGCTTCGACGACTTTGTTGCCACACACATGACGCAGGCGGGAGAGCTTCACGGCCCAACGAATCTCTTTGCTGCCCATCGGTACTTCATCTACGTGTACGAGAAGGCCTTGAGAGAGGAGTGTGGGTATACAGGATACCAGCCGGTGTGCATTAGTCCTACTACCTAGCCCTGATGACCAGTTACTGACATGAGGAAAGTACATGAACTACGACCGCTACGTCGCCGACCCCTTGAACTCTCTCCTCTTTGACGGGTCACCAGCCAGCATGTCCGGCAACGGCGAGCTCGCGCCCTACAACGGCATCCCTCAACCGTTTCCCCGTCCATACGATCGCATTCCTGCTGATCAAGGCGGTGGCTGTGTGACTACTGGACCCTTCAAGGAGTATGTTTCCCTTCTAGCTAACCCTATTTTGATACACCGCTGACAGTAACGAAGCATGGTAGTCTCCCTCGGCCCCAAGGGCTCCGTCGTCCGGGACATCCCCCCCAACCCCCAGCGCGACGGCCTCGGCTCCAACCCCCGCTGTCTCCGCCGTGATGTCAACCGGTTCAGCGTCGCCGGCGCAAAAGCAAACTACACCTACCACTTGATCACCCAGCACAACGACGTCGACAGCTTCTACAACAGGTACCTCGGCCAACCCCAGCTCAAGGGTGACCCCAATCCATGGGGTCTTCACAACGCGGGACATTACCTGATTGGCGGTGATCCCGGGGGTGTATGTTCTCCTAACCTTCGCCACCTTTTCATTTCGGCGCTAACATATGCTGAAGGACTTTTACTGCTCACCAGGCGACCCCCTCTTCTACTTCCACCACGGCGCGCTGGACCGCATCTGGTGGATCTGGCAGATGAACGACCCCGAAAACAGAATCAACGCCGTGCCCGGGCAGGCCATGCCTGGTGGCCACAACCACGGGAGACGACAGACCACCCAGCCGAAGAATGCGCTCGACTCGGTCATCGACCTGGGGTGGACGGCGCCGGGGGTGAGGTTGGAGGAGATGAACGATCAGCTGGGTGGGTTGGGAGGGGAGATGTGCTATATCTATGTCTGATCACTTTTTCTCACTCACGGACAGATGGGAGAGGAAGATTTTTCGGGCGAGGGGAATTTTTTGAAGGTGGTTGAGATATGTTTCTATTAGAGAGTAGGAAAAAGTACTTTACTTACCTGATTATCGACCCAATCATTCTTCCAGTTTGGAAGTACCATTATCCAACAGCTGAGCCACAAAAAAGTTAGTAAGAAGGTTTGGTAGTAACAGTGCTCACCTTCCGGGCAGTCGCCGAACCAAACTGAGACTGGTAACGCAGTGGGTTAGTAGTGCTCGCCAACAAGACCGTAGCAGTGCTGTCAGGGATGGGGGCGAGAGAGGTGAGTTTGGTCAGGACCGTCTCCTGCTCACCATCCAGAGACCTGATAATGCCGGCGTTGAAGCCGGCATTGGATCTGATGGTAGGCTGGGGGGCGGCGTCTGCGGGGATAGATTCCGATGAAGGTGAGGGTGCCAGAGGCCCGAGGTATTTCCGAGCGAGCTTGAAGGAGGTGGTGAGGTAGGACCAGACGGTGGTGGCGACGAGCCAGACAAAGGCCCAGAGGATAGCCAACCAGGTCTTGGCCTGAGCCAGAGCCATCTCGGAGTAAGAGACAACAATGGGCTTGGCAGCGGCGAACCAGGTCCCGAGCTGAGGAATGACAACGGTGACAGGGTAACTTAACACGGCGCTGATAGTTGACCAGGCCCTGGTCACTTCGTCAGCAGCCTTGGTGGTGATAGGTTCGGGAGTAACCTTGGCAGCTGGCTCCGTGACAACATCGACCTTGCTAGTTTTGTGTTCGGGCGTCTCTGTTGTAGTCACAAGAGGCTCCTGCGTGGATGAGCTGTCAGTAACTTGGGCCGGCTCTTGGTCTGGCTTTGCGGCCGGAAGCATAGAGTATCTGGAAGAGCGAGGCCGCCAGGTCAGCTTCGAGAAGTCGTCCTGGGCAATAGCATCCCTCAACGCCTCGAGCTTGTCTTTGACCATCTCGTCCCAGCAAAGAAAGGGTCGACCATACCAATCTCGAACACCAGTGTCGCGGTGCCAAAAGCATCTCTCCAAAGAATCAGTGAGTGTAAGGTGGGCGTTCTGAATCTCGGCAATCTTTTTGGCAAGCAGCTCCTGGTCGCCTTCTCCCGACCACAGTCCCTTTTCGTTTTGATCTTGCAAGGTCTGTAGCAGGTCCTCATAGGCACCATCAATCTGAGCCTGAGAAGCAGAAGCGGTCACATCAAGGATTGAGTAAGGACTTGAATGGGCGATTGCAAAGTCTACCAATGGCAGAGCCATCAGGAGGACGGCATAAATAACACCTGCGGTATGCATTTTGTGTAGGTGAGAGGCCTGCCTCTTGAGTGTATGTAATGCGGTGTGGTTGTTGTTTGCTCAGTGTTGTGGATGATGCAGATAGTTGATGAAGATTGCTGATGATGGGGGAAAATGTGTAGGGAGACTGTGAACCTGACCTTTCTTATATAAAACCAGTCTCCTTTGTCGAGCCCATCTGAACAATGTCTTGGTTCTGTCAAGCCTTTGTCAGCACAAACGGATAGTGTTCACGATACCCCTGTTTTTCAATGTGTCCTTGTCGACAACAATACCATTGTAAACATTGATCTTGAAAGTTGTATGAACAAGGACCAGCTACCGCTTGGTGTGCGAAGACCCAAAACGCCAATAGATGCCGTTTGACTATCAGTTGGATATGCTCGCAAGACTGAAGTTTCTAGATGCGTGGTCAGCGGCGATGGTTATGGGAGCGGCGGAAACCGCCGATGTGGTTGGTAGGGACATCGAGCATATCGTGTCTTACCAATCAGCAACTATGGCAAAACATCTCTGGGAGTGTCAACTGCGCCCTTTGAGTTCGTCATGGTTACTCACCCCACTTCCCCGCTTCTGTGACTCAATTTCATCACATCGAGACCTGACAATGACATATATACCTGTCTCGACACCCAAGAGTCGAGTCGTCATCTAAACCAGCCAAGGTAGCATCCCAAAACAGAAGATCAAAATGGCCCCCCTCAGCCTTGACTTCGTCACTGTCGATGTCTTCACAACAAATCGTTATGAGGGAAACCCCCTGGCGGTTGTCTTCGTCCCACCTTCTCAACGCTCGTTGGTGACTCAAGAGATCAAGCAGCGCATAGCCCGCGAGTTCAACCTGTCCGAAACAGTCTTTCTACATGCCGAATCCAATGCCAAACCGGAAGCCACCACACTCGAGTTCAACATCTTCACGATCGAAGAGGAGCTCCCTTTTGCGGGGCACCCAACCATTGGCACTGCCTATCTAGTCCTTCACCACCTGGGCTGGGGACACGTCAACACCTTGTTGACAAAGGCCGGACCTATTCCCATCAACGTCGAAGGAAGCCAAAACGTCAAGGCTGAGATTCCCCACGCGGTGCACGTCCACTCGTCCACTCTCTCCAGCCTCCTCGAAAAGTCCGAGTCATCAGACATCATCACAGCTGGCTTGTCTCCTCACGATCAGATCCGGCAAGCTGAGCTCTCGGGAACAGTGGTGAGCATTGTCAGAGGAATGACCTTCATTCTCGTCAACCTCCCTTCCTTGGAGCTTCTGGCCAAAGTGACAGACTCGCCTCGCCTTCAATTTGACAAGATCCCCAACTTTCTGGACAAGGGAGAGTGGGAAAAGAGCTTTGTCGGTAGGTACTATTATGTCTATACCGACGAGGGGTCGAAGACAAAGGTTCAAACCAGAATGGTGGAGCTGGGCTTTGAGGACCCGGCCACGGGAAGCGCAGGGTGTACATTGAGCGCGTATCTGACCTTGACGGAAAAGAAGGGGGCAAGATATGAGATTACGCAGGGTGTTGAAATGGGCAGAAGAAGTGAGATTGTGGTTGAAACGAGTGTCACTGAGGAGGGGAAGGTCAAGGAAATACACTTGGGAGGGACAGCGGTGTTGGTGATGAGGGGCAGTGTTGCTGTATGAATCAATGTGTGTTCCATCCTGAGGGAAAAACAATGAGATGGTGAAAGAGAGTACGTACTTAGGTACAAAGCAGAAAGAAATGAATCAGCTGAACAATGCTTTGGTTGTGATAAAGAGCAATAACGATGTTGAAGGGCTTGTCGATAAGATAATTATGTATTCAACAGGCAAGTTATGCAAGATGTCCACAGTGTTTGAATTATGAATGACATTGCGCCAAGACGCCCCACACGAGTGCGACTGTGCGCGCGGGTCGCGTTCACTTTTGGTAGCCTCACAGTCCCAGGCTGACCGCAGTTGACCTATGGCCAAAAAAATCCAATTTTTACAGAGAACACCAGCAGATATCCAAAAATGCTCTGCGCACGTAAGTCGATACCGGAAAACTCTGGGATCGATCATTCGCTAATCTGACGCAGTGTCTGGCGAGGTTCCCGAGGAGCCTGTTGTTTCGAGAAAGACAGGTCAGTCTGCCACAGTCGCAGCTCGAGAGGTCGCAAGCTAACCAACCCTCCGATGACCAGGCACTGTCTTTGAGAAGCGCCTAATTCTCAAGTACATTCAAGAAAACGGAAAAGAACCAGGCACCGAAGAAGAGCTCGACCCCGAAGACCTCCTCGATGTCAAGACCAGCCGCGTCGTCCGACCTCGTCCTCCAAATTTCACCTCTCTGCCGTCGCTGTTGAAGGCCTTTCAGGATGAGTGGGACGCGTTGGTATTGGAAGCATACAACACAAGGGAGCAGCTGTCTAGAACAAGAGAAGAGCTTGCGACGGCCCTGTACCAACACGATGCCGCCGTGCGCGTGATTGCGCGGCTGACCAAGGAGCGGGATGAGGCCCGGGATGCTCTTTCCAAGATCACCGTTGCTCCCTCGGCTGGCGGTGCTTCCAATGGCGATGCTATGGCGGTGGACAACGAGGGTCTCCCAGAAGGACTGGTGGAACATGTCAATGAGGTGCAACAACAGTACGTGGACACCAAGCTCCGGGCGAAAGGAGTAGCGATGACATGATGCTGACTATTCTTTTGCAGGTTAACACAACGCCGGCGCGAGAAGCGACCCGCCCCAGAGAATTGGGCCACCCCAGACGAAGTCTCAGCCTTCCAGCAAACTGGGCACACCGATCTCTCCGTCTCGCAAGCCTCCTCCCTCGATGTCGAATCCGAGTATGCTGTTATTGGCGGGTTGGATGGCAAGACCGATATCTATTCCATTCAGGGCAACACAGTGGAGCGCTCGCTGGATATCGGTGAGCCAGTAACATGTACGGTGTGGACGGGAAGCAAGGTTATCCTGGGTACCTCCAAGGGCTCGGTCAAGGTGTTGGACAGCGGCAGCGAGGTTGCTTCATTCCACGTACACGCCGGTGCAGTCACTGGTCTCACTGTCCACCCCGGTGGCCGTATCCTGGCCTCGGTTGGCGTTGACAAGAGCTTTGTCTTTTACGATCTTGAGACACTGCAACAGGTGTCTCGAGGCTACACGGATGCTGGTATGTTTCCCCCCCATTCGCTATATACCAAAACAAAAGTTGCTGACCAATTCACCAGCTCTGACATCCTGTGCCTTCCACCCCGACGGCCACTTTCTTGCTGCTGGCACACAGGCGGGAGACATTAATGTCTTCCAGACCAAGGATGGCGTCAAGGTTGTCAACTTTCACCTTGGGGCTCCTGTCCAGGCGCTGGTGTTCTCCGAGAATGGGTACTGGTTTGCGGCAACGGGCAAGGGCCAGCAGACGGTCACCATTTTCGACCTGCGGAAAGAGGGTGATGCGGCCAAGGCCAAGGAGCTCCAGACGGGCGATGCGCAGTCTCTTGCGTGGGACCGCACTGGGCAGTACCTCGCGACAGTTGGGTCCACTGGCGTCACGGTGCAAATGTATCTGAAGAAGGCCAAGGCGTGGTCCGAGCCACTCAGGACGAGCGTACCAGGCACGGCTATCCGCTGGGGAACAGATGCGAAGTCTCTGGTGACGGTCAACAAGGAGGGTGTGGTCTCGGTGCTCAAGGAGAGTGCATAGAGGAGAAGGGTGAACATTGGAGAATCTGTGAGCTTGTAGTATAGTGCAGATATTTGTTTAGTTTGCTTTTCGGTGGCGCCTGAAAAACCAGCAATGGGGTTCTTTTCTCTTTTTTATTTTATTTTTTTACTCTCTGCACAGTAGCTGCCTGTTGCCTTGAAAGTGACCGTGTCTGTTGATGTGTGCTGCTGATAATATTCACTTTAGGCACTGATACTTGGCAGGCATGCTGGTTGTGGACAACCTGGAAGATACTCCGTAACTGACACCGTGAAACTAACACAAATGACACTTGGTAGACTTTTAAACACAGTTAAACACAGTTGAAGGTGTTAAAAGACAGTGGATATACCTGAAAAGAAAACAAGAAGGTTGAGGGCATTTCTCTTTGCAGCAGGCAAAAGTGGGGCAAATTGTGTTGCTATTGGCGCTGTTTGCTTGCCTTTGCAGCGGCGTTTGTGGCCCTTGTAGTGTCCGAGGTCTCTTTCTCTCATCATCGCTCGCACCAGAAACAGCCACCAGCGCGCCTTGTGGCGACATTTTCCCTTACGCATACACCGAAGTCCAGAAACAGCTCGAGCCCTTTTCTGGCAGCCCGAGTGTACACTACAGCGTCAGGATTGAGGACCGAGTGGGGCGCGTGGAATGTCATTGTTTGGTTGACCTGCCAAGGTGCACTGAAGCCGTTATGGACAGAAGCTCTCCCGACCTGGGGTTCTACTCTTCTGACAACCACCACGACAACAACCACGAATCCGACTCTGACTCTGATTTGAACGCGGACCTCGACTTCTACGACAACGACGACCACCACGACGACCACCACGACCACCATAACCACCACCATCACCACCACGCCCACGCCGAACAAGAAGAAGCAGAGTTCCAGCATCAGCTACACCACCACTTGCATCACCATCTGCACCACCTTCACCAGTTGCGTCACGTTCTTGGCATCAACCTCGCCGCCGAGCCAAACCTGAACCACGAGGACGATTATATGAACCACATTTTTGGTGACAGCGATAGCTATCTCGACAACGAAGATTTGGATGTGGGGGCCTTGCTGCATGTTGGGGATAGCGACGACGACGACGACGACGAAAGCCATAGCGACCACAGTGACGACAGCACTGCAAATCGAGAGTCGAGTGAGGATTCTCTCTTTGTTGATCAGCGGCCTTCGCCCTCACCCTCGTCTAATCGATTGCCGCCCATCGCTCAGTTAGTTCCCGAAGTCCGACGCGCAGGACAACTGCAGGGGAACAGGGAGAGCAGCTTTCGTTTTGGTACTCTGAACTCGGACGAAGTGGCCTTTCGAGACCAGCTTGTTGAGATGGAAGTCGCAAGACCTGTGCGCCGGCCTCGCACAATGGCGGCGGCCCGCTCCATGACGCCAGCTGCCAACGCTGAGGTTATCGATTTGACACAAGATGACGACGACGTTCGGCAGCCGCGTCCAAACCATAACCCCAATCCTCGCCGACAAACTCTGAACCACCGCACGCCTTCCCTCAACCGCAGCGACGGTAGCCTTCTCGGAAACGCCGGCGCCGCCGACATCATCGACCTCACTATGGACGACCCGACCCCTCCCCCGCGCCGACAGCATGCTGCCCGCGCCCAAGCCCGGCCCAACCTTCCACGCCCCCCTCCTCCTCTCGTTGACCTGGTGAACGACGATGAGGACGACAATCTCGGTGCTGGTGGCTCCTTCCGAGCCCCTGGCGCTTTCAGCCACTTTGTGCACCAACTCCAACACAGACTGCAGCCGGCTGCCATGTTTGGCATTCACGGCATTCTCGGACTACGCGACGTGACAGCGCTAGGCCGGAGTCCTGCCAACAACCCCCTCGGGGCGCATGGCCCCGATTTGAACTACGGACTCCATCGTGCCGGTCAAGAGCATGCCGCTCCCAAACCCGCCCATGTTCCGCCCAAGCCTGCCCGAGAAGGCTTCACCCGTGCCACCGGAGAGGCTAGCGAGGATGTGGCTGTCTGTGCCGGCTGTGAGGAGGAGCTCAAGTACGACCCAGACGAGTCCAGGGCCGACATGCCGCCCCAGAAAAGAGCGAGGAACAAGAAGGACAATGAAGAGCACCACTTCTGGGCTGTCAAGGAGTGTGGACACGTAAGTCATGCCCGCCGTTTGTTCCTTCCCACCTCTTGTTTCTTTTTGCTGACTTTTAATTTCCCAGGTGTACTGCAAGAGTTGCTACGAAGGACGTGGCAGAGCCAAGGGCAAGACTGCCCACTTCCGCGCTGGGCCGGGCAAGAACAAGGCTCTATGCAACGTCCCAGATTGCGAGTCGGAGGTGTCCAGCAAGATGGCCTGGGTCGGTCTCTTTCTCTGAGGCAGGGACATTTACAAACATTTCTTTATGGGTGCATGGACGGATCGGGTTTGGGTTATACCATTTGCTCTCTGGCGAGGGGCTTTACGGACAGGTGACCTAGTTATTCTTTTTTCCTTCGGCATGGCTGACCAAGGCTTGGTCCGGAGTTTACTGCATGGTCTGGTGTTTGGTTGCCTTTTTAGCGCTGCTTTTCTCGGCCACGGATAGAAGACATGGGTTTTTGTGAATGGGGTATAGATGGCTATCTGTCTATGTGTGTATGTGTCCTTGTTGTACTGGCTTGGTGTTTTGTCGCGGCGTTGTTTTAAAGCCTTCTCTGTACATCACACACACAGCAATGTATTCAACAATCTCACATCAAGTCAGGGATACAGTACGGTGCTGAATTGACATTATTCTCTACATTCCAGGTCAGTTCCTCTTTCTGTTTGCCATTACAAATCACTGTCCCTACCCACCTTGATAGGTCTTTTATTTGCTCAGCTGCCCCCCAGCTCCTGATAGCCTGACAAGAACAGCACCACGCGCAAAGAGACGGGCACAAAGCCGACTCCCAACTCGGCCCTCTTCTGCTGCCTTCTTCTGCCCAAGGTAAAAGGAGGCGGATACGCCCAATCCGTTCCCTTTTCAAGACAATGTTCAATGATCACGACCCACCTCACTTTCTAACAGATCTTTTTCTCTCTACATCTTTGTCCAGGTCCGTCACGGAGACGACCACCCCTTCCCCTTCCCGACGATACGATCGAGAAACCTCCCACTCATGTTGGCCAATCCCCCCCCCCCTTCGTCGCGAGTCTTTTCGATTACTGTCTCTCTGACCCCCTTTTCCCGGGTCGAGTTGTTGGGGTCGATGACGGTTTTGGATCCCGTGCGCCATGCGCAATACGGAGTGCGACATGGCGCAGAGGTGGCCGGCCCCGTCGTTGACGCGGTCCTGCTTCCGGAGGCGCTCGAGGCGGGACTCGAGGGAGGAGAGGGAGCGGTAGGTGAAGGGGTCGAGGCGGGGGCAGTGGTAGAGTTTGCGGAGGGTGTACAAATGGGCGTGGGCGAAGGCGAGGCGGAAGGGGTAGGTTTTTTGGGAGGTGTGGAGGAGGTGGTGGAGGTGGGTTTTGAGGCAGGTTGTGGGGGGGGAGTTTTCACCTCGTTCGTCTAGGGCCACGGGGCAGGGGGAAAGGGAGGGGGACACGAGGGGGGAGGAGACGAAGGGGGAGGTAATGGGAGAGGACGGGTTGGAGGTTAGACCGAGGCCGCCGGCCATGGTCATTTCCGGGATGGTGTTTATCTCGCGGATGGTGGGGTTGCCTTCTGGTCCGCCGTCGAGGATGGTGGCTATGACCTTGGTCTTCTCGTCCATGAGGGCGAGGAGGTTGTCCATTTGGGTGGGGATACGGGGGACGAGCTCGATGTAGAGCTTGTGGAAGCTCTGTTTGGTTTCCTCGGTGTTTTCGGCCGTGGGGAGGCGGGAGACTTTGATTTTGGCTAGATGATCGTGGATCTCGTCCAGGTCGTCGCGCAGGTGGGTGAGCTCGGTCACCACGGCGTTGATGGCTCGGACGAGCTGGTCTTCTTCCTCATCGGTCAGCGGTCGTGGGCGGGGCTTGAGAGGCGGGCCGGGGGATGATGGGGTCGTGCTGGCGTGGGTGTCTTCGCTGCTTGCGGTGGAGGATGGGGCGTTGGACCGAGCATCGGCCTCGAGGCTGGGGGTGTCGTTTGGTGGCACATCGTCACATCCCTGGACGGCTAGGGCGTTAGGCAGCTTCTCAGGCCTCGGCGTTTCCTCAACCGGCGGAAGCTGAAGCTGGGCGGGGAGCCGTGTCGTCGAGACCCGCGCTCTGCTCTGGCTACTTCCCGCGTGCGACCAGTCCGGCGAGCCTCGGGGGTCACACATGTCGATTGCGCTGTCCCTCTGACACCTTTTCGTGTTCCCCTCGGGCGTATCATCCCGCCCCTCCTGGCACTGCTGCCACTGAAGGATCACCCACGCCAAGTCATATCCCTCGATGTACTCGAGACAGTACCTCTGGATCTCATACCCAAACTGGATGAGCGGCTCTCCCAGCCGCCGGATCTGTGCTCGAACCGTCTCGGGGACCAACATGTACGACATGTCCGGCATGGCTCGTATGCTGACGGATGCCTTGGCGATGATGCGGGTGAACATGACCTCTTCGAGGTACCACCGACGCACATTATCTTGGAGTGCTGAGGAGAGTACCGGTGGCTGCTCCAGCTTCAGGGTCTCTTCGGAGCCCCGCTTTGTCTCGATCCCTTCAGGGCCGCCATCTTCCTTGAGCGAGGACAGCTTCACCGTGCTTGTGCTTCTTTTGGTAGCGTTGGAGGAGGACGGTGAGGGTGTGTTGCTTGAGACACCCTCTTTCGCTTCGGATGGCTCCCGGAGGAACTGGAGGATGCTCTCGTCGGGAAACGCGGGGGTGACGTTCCATTGCCCCTCGAGGTAGTCCTTTGGCACCCTCTTCTCTCCCTCGGTGTCTGAGGTAGGTTCTGAAATAGCCTTTGGCTTGGGTTCTGGCTTGAAGGCCGTGATGGTGGAGGTGCTGACAAGAGAACTAGATCGAGGAGCAAGAAACGCAAAAGGATTGGAGGTGTCGATACCCGGGAGTCCGGTGTTGCCAATGGCCGTTGCTGGTCGACTCCCAGGGCCAGCCGGAGCTCCTCTTGCCGAAGAAATGAGGTCGAGCTCTTTACGCAACCTCCCACTGACGGCACTCTCCTGGGTTGTGAGGTTGGTGCTGATACCAGTGCTGAGACTGGCGTCTGATGCCGTGAGCATGCTGGCCAGGCTCCCAATAGACCCATCATCTGGCGCCGAGAGGATGTGTTGGGGAATGGACGACGTTCTTTCTGGAGCGCCGCCTCCGTAGATGACCATGGCACGAACATAGGCCTGCATGTTGAGCCGGTCCTCGAGTGCCAGTGGCTCCGGCTCACTTTTGTCCAGAGGTTCGCGGGGTTCTTGTTCACGTCCGCGTCTGGTAGACGGCCGAGAGACATTGGTGGTGGCCGTGATGGAAGAATAGCTGTGGGCCAGAGGCGGTGGGTGTACAGCTACCTCGTCTTCGCCGTCTTTTTCTTTACCGCAGTGGATCGACTCGGACTCCTCCGAGTACTCGGTGATGGTCTCCATCATGCCAAACAAGCCCCTTGACTGGGCTCTCCGCATAAAGGTATAATCTTGGTAGTCGTTGATGAACGACGAGTCAGGGGGGGTTTCGGGAAGGTTCCCAGCCTCGAGGCGCGGCTGATGCGGTGAATGATATTCTTCTTCTTGGCTGCTCATGATGCATTCGTCTGTGATATAGAGCTCTTCCAAGTCTTTCTCGACTGGGGGACAGCTGCTGCTGAAAGGGAGGTCGTGCGGAGTTCGGCTGGCTTTGAACTGGGTGCGAGGGGCCGTGGCGAATCGTGAGCTCCGCCGTAAGGGGTAAACTGAGAGAGTACGACAATCAGCGGTCGGGTTTCCTCAGTGTTGGATGGTTGAACTCACCTTGTCCAACTGGCGTGGCCATTCCTACTGATTCGTGAACCTTCGGGACGCCCCAGGGCCCCTTATCGTTATCCTCCTCAGTATCGTCGTTCGTGCCTGTTGAACCTGCTGTTCCACTTGACCGAGTGGCGCCCAATGTTGGTGAGTCTGGGTATATGAATCCATCGGACGAAGAAGACCTTCTGCTGGCTGTGGTCGTCGGAGCAGGGCTCGTGTCTGTCAAGGGTGATTGGGCGTTCGTAGTACTAGTTGGAGAATCCTTTGGTGTTTCCACCTCTGCTGCCGCGGCCGCGGCCTGCTTCGTGGTGTTGTTGAGGGGCATCACGGAGATCGCAAGGGGGTGATGGGTATGGTGTTGACCGGGGGAAAAGAGATGCAGACAACCGCCGGACAAAGGGAACACTAAACAAGTGGACTTCGGAAAGGGATAAACGAACAGCTTGCATTGTTAACGCACGTTGAGTGCTACTCGGTGGGGAAATGGGTGATAGAGTTTCGAATGCTGGAGAGGAGGCGTAAAGGTGAGCCGTGGATGGGAGTGCGCCAAGTACCGGTTAGAATGCTCTTGAACAGAGCGAGGAGACCAAAAAGAGGAAGGGAACTAGATGTCCCGATGGAGGTTCTGTCGAGGGGACTGCATGGGGAACGCGGGGTGAGAGAAACAGATCAAACGAGAGACTGAGATGAGGAGAGAACAAGACAATGAGAACAAACCAGAGAAGTAGTTTGATCCGGGGAAGCAAAACCGAAGAAACAGATCATACACTGAGTGGGTTCATGGGGGAAGGGTCATCATCATCAACCGTTGAGGCTGGCGGGGATGGTGAAAAGGAA